CCCAATTTATACTGTAGTGTATACTGTAAATCCCGGATTTCAAGTGGATTTTCCAGCCTGCCACGTTTTATTAATGGAGGGTAAATCCATAGTTACCCGTGAATAATCATTAATGTATCATGAATCTTCCATGGATCTTCTATTAGCCCTTAAATTCCCATGATCTCCCAATTGCCCTCTGGTAAATTAACATAGACCCTGGCAGATAGGGGTCGGAAGAATAGTTTCCATTAAAACTAGGTTATTTTCAGGGTCTATGTTAATTCACCAGTCTATTATATCCTACTTATATCCCAATTATCCAATACTCAATGATATTCATGATATTCCAATAATATATCCCAATTATATCCCAATAATATCCCTTTTTCTCACTGTTGGTTGGTAAACTTTGGTTAGCATCCACCATAATCCAATTACTAAGTCAAGGCACGTTTGAACCGTTTGATGGTTTCCCCGAGGTAGGTGACCATCAGACCGTTCCAAACTCTTCTTGCTTGAGTTTAAGGTCAATATCCACCATTCACATCTATACCCCAATATTAATATACGTCCAATAAAAGACATCACGATCAGGTTGTTATAATCTATCCAATGTGGATTATTCACTGTTTAGATCCCATCAAATCCATACTTTATGGCTGGTCAAATCCACATAGTGAGTGGTCAAATGATGCTACTTCCACATGTTTATCATTGTTTCGTAGGTCAACTATGATCAAATGTTAAACATTGTAATCTTAATTCGTTAAACGCCATTTCGGCTAGTTAAGCCCTGATATTGTCTAGCCTTATCATATCTATACAACTCACCGGTTCCAACGACACGCACCTTGGTGATAATCCTGGGGCGGTTGGTCTTTTCAGCCACCTTCTCCAGCATTTGAATCAGTGCCTCAGGGACGGTGACGGCAATGCCACTGAAAAAACATGTGTGGCAACTCACTCTATCCTTTTTGGGCGCGTTTTGAAGAGCTTATCTAACTGGATTTCGACCCGTGCCAACTTCTTGTTGCAGAGTTTGTTGTGGATTTTGGAGCTATAAAGCTTCAAAATGTCGATGTTTTGACAACATGGATCCCATGGAAAAAAAACCATCGGAATTGGTCGAGTCTTGGGACCCAATGGACAAATGCACAAACGGGTGCCCGTTTGGTTCCCACATTTGTGATGCTATCACCGATGTATATAAATTCCGATAGAAAAGATCAAATAACATTACATAACGAGCCCGAGTGACCCAGATAGGAACAGAAACAACGTTCGACCAGTGAATAAGTAAGAATCATAATTCACCTTAACCCAGGTCCCAGCACATATGTGATGGTCAGCCCTGGAAATCATTCCTTTCCACGGTGCGTGCGCGGCTGCAAACGGTCACCCAGACGTGCCACCAGTGACAGGTCCAAGCCAAACCTGGTGGAGATGGTCCATCTAGGGATGGTTTATATCATCCATCTATAGTGATCTCTTGGGGCTGTTGAAAATTCATGACATTGGATTTGGCAGGTCATGGGCACCAACCTCGTCAATATATCATGGTGATTAGATGGTCATATTAGTTAGAAGTTGTTAGTACCGTTCGTCGTAATGATTGTTAAAGACGATAGTAGTTATTAGAGTTAATATGGTTAACCACAATCCTCGAATGTGACGGATTAGATACCTAGCAAACCGACTGCATCATCTACAAATGGGCAACTTCAATCAGCTAAAGCATCTAACTGCTAGCTACTCACGAAATTTGGGTTCCCTTTTTTATATCAAAAAAATGGAACCCAATTTGTGTCGATAAAAGCCATAAATTGCATCTCCGATTTTTTTTTTGGGATGCTGGTTTTGGACGATGGTGATTGAGAATAAGGTCTTGAACATAGTGCATTGAACATGGTGAACTTTTTACGGTATTTGATAGTCATAAAACGATGTCAACTATATAGCTCATAAGTAGTCAGCACGATACATGATTATTTGTAGCTTCGAGTAGACCAGTAACCATTACCATCACCAACAATCAGTTCTCATCAATAATTGAGCAGCCCTAGCCCTCTCCTCGAAACGGACACCCACCAGAGGAGCTAAGTCATAGGCTTCTCGTTTGCCGTCGTATCCGGAAAGCATCACCCCAGCGTCGTTCAGGACATATCCACCGACCTTAAGTTCCATGACAGTGGCTACGGTGGCTACGTCCTAAAATCAGGATCTGATTGGTGAAGGGAAGTTGGCAACATTAATAGAGACAGTGATCCCCAGAATGTGAATCTATAAAAATCAAATGTATTCAAATGTTACAAACATTGTATAATCATGTATAATATATTCATACTGATCCCCAATATCTTTGTGATCCGACAAATCTATATACAAGTGATGATTCCTTCCTATGTTTGATATTTATTGGCCCAGAAATCCAAACAAACAATCTTTATTGCCGGATGAAATGGGGGCCAAGCTGGTCTGATTCGCGAGAAAGGACACTGAGTAACTGCGTATCTGCGTATCCGTCAAAATTATCCCTAAAATAGTTGATGGTAGGCACCATCCAAAATGATCAAAAGATACCAAGTTGGTGTCCATTCGCACCTCAATCGTAACCCATTCCTGGTACCATGACTGCCATTCCAAGGAGCTGTAGGTGGCAGACACTCCAGGGCCAGAGAACAACAACTCCAAGGATTCGGCTGTTGTCGCCCTTAGAACCTGATCCCGGCTGTGGCTCCATCAATCCCAGTGGATATATGATGATATATGTTCCTATTGTTTATAAGATGGTGAGAAATATGTGTTCAGATGTTTCAAAATGTTTGGTTTGTATATAATCACCAAAGATTTCAGATCTCACCCAGGAATGACTGGAAAGGTCTGAAACATCTCAGTTTCTGCCCGTGTGAAAGGAGGGCCACTGATTTAAGGATCTGGGCCTCTGGGGTATCCCCCAATAGCCTTCTTGTCTGATAAACGAGCGGATTGAAAGATGTTTCCCCCAAATTCTCAGACAAGAAGCTGCCAAAGAGACATAGCGAAGAGGTTTCGAGACCATTCTCGCTTTCCGCAGTCATGAGACTCTCACGGACAAAGCTTTACAAGAGTGTCTGTGCCCGTTTTCATGTTTTAGTGGCTATAGAGCATCATTGAGTAGCATAATTTGTCCACATTTTTTTTCAAATACACGAAGTCCAAGCTAAGTGAATAGTTGATGTGGAAAATGTGTCTCTTAAGCGTGTACCCATGTCGCATGCCCAGAAAAAGTGCGCGATCTCGCGTCTACATCTATTGGCAGACGTTGCAGCGTTGTTTCAAGTGTTATAATTCCTGTGTAATGAACATGACCTCGAAGCGGAACGTTGCAACTCTTGAAAACTCAAATTTTGTAGACTGTCACACGGTGATCAGGATACGCTGTGGCTGCACATGAAAAGAATACTACTCATCCCTGTCCGGTCCTCGTGGAACTTGTCCAGCACTGAGCCGCCGGATGGCATTACGTTGCATTGCATTTTGCATCGCATTACATTGCATTGCACTACATCGCCTTACATTGCATTGCATTACATTGCCTTACATTGCATCGCATTGCATTGCATTTCATTGCATTGCATGTCATTGCATTGCATTACTTTGCATTGCATTACATTGCATGACATTTCATTGCATTACATTGCACCTGTGCGGCGCAACCATGCGCCTGTGCGGCGCAAACACTATCTGTATAATCATAGGGCCAAACTACTTGGTTCAACCGTATTTTCCGGGCCTCATGCAACAAAGCGGAAGCAGTATCTGGACAAGACACTTGGACACCTAAACAACTGATAAGAAAGGAATTCTGCAATGATAAGTAGAAACCAAAAATGACCTGGGAAAATACGATGGCCAAGCATGTCCAGCCATCGTATTTTCCCATATCCTTTTTGGACACCAACAATGCTCATTGCATAGGATACCTGAATTCAGGATACCTGAATCATATTCATAAGAAAAGGGTCGAACGCCTAAAGGTGCGAAGCAACGAAGCATATTTCTGCCAATTTGGTTTGATTCATTGCCGATCCTAGGCTCTCTTTAGGATGCCATTTAGGGTTTCATTCAAAGTTTCGTTGGGCTTTCATTTATGGTTTCTTTAGGCCAATTTATGATTTCTTTCGGGTTCAATTAGTGTTTCATGTAGGGGTTTCTTAGCAGCAATTCTTTAGGGTTTTTTTGGGTTTCACCTAGAGTCTTTAAAATTTCATTTAGGATACAAACAAGAGAGAATAAAACAAAAGAATTAGGGTTTCATGTAGGGATTCTCTGGAGATTTACATCTCTTAAAGGTTTTATGTCGGGTTTCTTTTGGGTTTCTGTCGGGTTTCATGTAGGGTTTGATTTAGGGATTCTTTCAGGTTTCATTTAGGGTTTAATTTAGAGTTTTGTGTAGGATTTCTTATCAGAAAATCTTGTCAAGGTTTTCAAACATTCATGTGGGTTTCTTGAAAGTTTCTTTAGAGTTTCATTTAGGATTTCATTCACAAGGTGGGGGATTAAAAAAAAACAAGGGCCCCCTATACTTTGATAAAATATCATGCACCTGTGCGGCGCAACCATGCACCTGTGCGGCGCAACACTAGCTGTATAATAATAGGGCCAAAAATATCGTATATATATATGTATATCTAACTATTATACAGCTACTTAGATCCATGAACCCATAAAACCATAGGATCATAATATTAACATCCACCCAAATGAAAAACCCATTTACAAATGAAAATTCAAACCTATCAAATATATTTCACAACAATATACATAGGAAAAAGGTCGAAAGCGTCAAGGTGCGAAGCACCGAAGAGTTTTTATGCCAATTTGGTTTGCTTCCTTGCCGATTCTTCCGGGGTCGGCGGCAGGGGCGGCAGCCCTTAAATAAATCAACCAAACAAGAATCCTCAAAATTGTTTGTTATCATCCAATATTTTGCATTATTCTCCTATAGAATTTTCATGAATTTTCTGTTGCGTTCAGTCACTTCGATCATATCCAGCGTGAATCCATAGGGCCAGATTGGTGCTATCCCAGGCGGCCACATGATTTGATCTCGCAGAAGGTTGGTTGCCACTCTCGGGCATTTGACTCCAGGTGCCCTGTCGCGTGTCGAACTTCCAGAGGTCTTGCTTCAAGCTGCAGTCGCAGAGTCCACCGTGGACCCAAATGGCCCGGTTCGATGCATCCCACACAGCGACATGCTGACTACGTGCCGAAGGGCCTCCGACCATGATGTTTGTCCATGTGTATGATGAGTATCTCCATAGGTCATCGAAATAGCTAACACCATCATAGCCACCATGAAGCCACAGGGCATAATCATCAGAATCCCAAACTGCCACATGGTCCATTCTCGGAGAAGGTGACTGGGTCAGTTGCTGCTTGCGATCCCAAGTCCCTGTGTCGAAATCGAAGGACCACAAGTCCGGCAAGACTCCATCAGAACTTCCTCCATGTATCCAAAACTGATTGATCGTAGGATCAAATACAGCCACGTGTACAGAACGTGCTGAGGGTTTGGGAATGCCGAACTCTTGAACTCGACTCCACTCAGAAAGAACTACCAAAAGCCACTGAATTAGGCACAGCCCTTTGAGTGTGCCCATGAGTGTGCCATGAAGCTTCCCCCCAGGCCCCGTCCTGGCCGCTAGATCCGCTAGATCCGCTAGTCTGAACGCGAAAAACTGCGGACCAAGATGGACAAAGCGCTCGAAATCTGCACGTAACCTGATCTCAACCTAAGCCTCAGAAGCCTTGCAGACCACTGCAGCGTTACTCGTGTAATTGATCACCTCCCAACCCGTTTGTAAATATTGTGTTTCAACATGTTTCAACTGATTGTTTACAGTCAGCTGCTTCCTTTGTGTATCATGGTACAATCAACCGACATAATGTCAGACATTGCTTCGCGGCCTCCCAGCGACCTGCTGAACGACCCCGTTGTGAAGGCCAAGGCCGGGATCCTCGCCGTCCGCTCGGATGAGTAGCAACATATAGCAACTGTAACAGCCACTATAATTAATAGCATCATACTATATATATATATATAAATGTATATATTGTATATATATATATATACACACAATTATACACATGTATACATGATTTCCATTGATTTCCATATGTTTCCATAATTGTACAAGTAACACTTTGGACGTTTTTTTTCTCCCAACACACTGACTCCAGATTGCAGAGCTCACTATATATTTGATGATAATTACTTGAAATGTCACAGATAACATGCGATAACTATGGAATACTATGAATGGATACAGTAACTTTTCAAGTTCCAAAATCATGAACACTAAAATCCGATAGCTTCTCGACCAAGATCTTCCCTGGCCTGTGCCCCGCTGCAAACATCTAGGCTCTGCCACGCAGCTTGCCGGCCTCGATGGAACCGACAAAATCCACATGGTTTGACTTGGCGGAGCATGTGAGAATTGTAATAGAATTGTGAGAAATGAATAGATTTCAATAGATTTCAATAGTCTAGAACAGTCTCAGTATGTCTCAGTAGAAAATGTAAGCCTTTAAGCGTTTCTGTCCAACTACCTTCTTATGTGCTGGACAGTGCATGTCCATTCATACTGTTCTGTATAGTTAAGTATGCTTAATCCTGACAATCAACAACACATTGTATCACATTGTCACATCATCCTGTGAATCAAAAAATGGCCTTCTGTTGGGTTCCCCGTGGTTCCCCGATGCTGTCACCCACTCCTTGTACCCAAGCAGTGAAATTCTCGAGCTTCTAAGGCAACACTGGCAACACCAGCTTCTCAAACTGCGACCTGTGACTGTCATGGACTGTCATGAACTGTCATGGACTGTCATGGACTGTCAAGGTCAAACATCTCTGGATGGACATCACGAATTGTGGAAATTGTGGACATTGTGGAATGTGAAATCACAAAAAGGATGATGGAGCACCATGTTGACCTCGACAGCATACTGTTTCCATGCATATATCACACCTGCAGTATGTGCCTGTACTCACTGAGCGCATGACATGTGAATTGAACAAAGAGTCTCAGTCGCAGCTCAGTCGTTTTAAATTCCATTTACAGCTCACGAAGCATTGCGGGCAAATCGAAGGCTGGTGATCAGTGCATCCCTTGATTTTTTCGACAGACCTTTCTGGATGGCACAAAGCTCTCCTTCTTGGAAAGCCTTGAAACACGTTTTGAAGCCTCATGACATCTATCCTGTTGAGGATTTAATTAATCCACAGCAACTTTGGCCACAGGACCTCATACCTTATTTTTGAGATGAAACTGAGGATGACCCTTTTGGCCTTCCTCGCCTCGTAAGAATTGTGGAATCATCTGAATTGCAAGACTTTGCTGCAACATCCTACAACCTTTGAGACTTGAAGTTCAGCGCAATGGCACACGTGCCTCTTTCCTCAATGAGACTTCTTGCTTTTCGGAAAGCCAGGATGCACACCAGGGATTCTCCCAAAAACACCTGGATGGTCTGGGTCGTAATGCCCCGGACCTGGAGTTATCGGTGAGCGTGCCGTGTAGCCTATGGTGTACCATGGTCCCCCCAGGGTGGACTTCAATCCGGACGATGACCTCGACCTTGACCGAGACCTTGACGACCGCGACGATCCCTGCTGCTTAACATGTTTCAGCATTGCCAGTGATGCCAGTTCTGTTTGTCTTGGGAGTTGGGGTTTTGGGCTGGGAAAATGATTGAAAAAATCGTGTAGCGGTTGCAAGGCTGGAGGATTGCTGGATTTTGGGACAGGTCTCTTCAACGGAATCTCAATTTTGTCAATGACCAGGTTTGTCACGTCGACGTCGATTGCCACATGGGGCAACCACGACCTTTCCTGTGAGATGGAGATGGAAGGCACTGAGGGCACTGGAGCGCGCAGCGGCCTGTTTTGAGCCACAGCACAATCTTTCAGTGGTGACGGCTTCCCGAAAGACATCCTGTTTGATTCATGTAAGTACTCATGTGTTGCTGGTTCTGGCAAGGCAGGAACTGGCTGCGTTAGTCGAGGTATACATGGCCATCGCCTCTTTCCTTGACGCTCTTCTCTCGACTCCCGCGGTTGCTGCTCAACAGCTTTAGGCACGACGTGCAGTGGTGCATGCATCAATGCATGTTCCGGATGGAGAAAGAGTGGCTGTGGGCATGCCATTTGTGGTGCAGGAGTGTCGGCGGCAAGGGAGGGGTTTGCCTCAGTCAAATCTGGGACGCAAAGTTCAAGCTGGGCATCACATGAAGCCACTGGTTTTTCGGGAGGATCTGCGGGCGGTTGAAGTCGTTGTGTGTTCTTCGGAAATCTGCAAATTGTTAGCAAAGGGACATTTTGTAACGGAGCTGGTGTTGGACTTGGTGGACATGGTGACACAGTTATGTGTGCCTCTGGATGTACTGTTGGAGGTACAGTTATGATGTGTGCATCTGGCGGTGGTGGTGGTGGTGGTAGCACCGTGATGTGTGTCTCTGATGGTGGTGGTACAGGTAGAACGATTGTAGCAGAACAACGCTTGAAGTGCTTTCGCCACCAGTACGCCACCAAAACGACCAGCGCAGCGGTTAGAACTGTAGCTATTGGAAGAAGGACAAGGCATGCAGTGAGATCCTCACCAGTTGTAGTGGTTGTAGTTGTGGTGGTTGGAATATCATACTTCCACAAATCCTGCAAGACACGACCCTCATAGCCACCATGAATCCAGAGTGACATAGTCCGAACATCCCAAGCTGCCACATGATCGAAGCGCCGTGAAGGCCCACTGTGGTCTTCGATCAAGTCCCATTTGTAATTCACAGTGTTGAAGCTCCATAGATCTCTCCGAGGGGCAACATCCTTTCCGCCATGGACCCACAAAATGTGATTCAGTGGATCCCAGGCAGAAACATGGTAGGCTCTCGCAGAGGGACCACTGTTGGAGATCAAATACCAGGTGGAGGTGCTAGTGCTGAACCTCCACAAATCCCTGTGCAAACCTTCACCTTGCAGCAAAAGTGCGGGTTCAACATGATTCACCATCAACATGCTTATGTTCGCCAATCCACAATTTGCAAAAAACCTACTTGGGACCCTCATTGGTTTCCAGAGCTAGGGTGTGGAAGGGCTTAATGAAAAGGATGTCCAAATCAAAGCTGGAGAAACGCAGTCTCAAACAATTAGCAGACTCAAGCAATTCCAACAACTGGTGGTATCTTGGGTCTGTAATTTGGCAGAATGTGGTATATCTCAGCAGCAGTTGAATAGCATGCAACCTGACCCAGCAAAAAGCTCGCCCAGCTACCCCAACTCCTTGCGAATCACACCTACACCGTTTGCATTGCCTACTTCCACCTCCACCTGCTTATGAAATCAACTGTCCACAAGGTCATGAGTGCTGTTGCTACCGCAGCCTTGAAAACACACCGGAACCAAACTAAACATGTCATACTGCATGCATCAAGCGACTTCCGCCATGTCCAGCATGGATCCAAATAGCCAGATGGGTGTCATCCCAGGCTGCCACATGATTCGCTCGTGCAGAGGGCTGCCGGCCAGTCTGTGGCATTCTGCTCCAAGTACCTTCTCGGGTATCAAATTTCCAAAGGTCACGTTGCATTGTGCCATCGAAGCCACCGTGGATCCAAATGGCTGAAGATGTGGCATCCCAAATTGCAATGTGATCACTACGAGCACAGGGACCTGGCACTGTACTATCCACAACACGGAGCCAGCCGACAGAGCCAGTAGAGCCTGAGCTGTACTTCCAGATTTCCTTCAGAAAATTGTTGCCATCAAAACCACCAGAAATCCAAAGCACCTCGGTCTGTGGATCCCAAACCATTGCATGACGATGCACTTGAGGAGGATGAGAGAGACTGTACTCACTGTAGTCATTGTAGCTGTGATTTGTCCATGTGCTCGTTGAAGGATCAAAGACCCACAAGTCATTGAGAAGCGTCTCTCCGCTGCCAGCATATACGACCAAACCGCTTCGGCCGTGGGCCTTGCCCCAAGCAGCTGAATGGCCAAAGCGAGGGGAAGGACCAAGCCGTTCTGTGACAAGACTCCACGTTGCCCTTGCGGCCAGCCAGTTGATTGTGAAAAACCATGATAATTTGGAAGTGAACACATTGGAAGGGCCCATTTATGCCCACCTGCTACAGAACTCATTGTTCATTTGAACGGTGAAACGGCTTGTCGTGAAGACCACAGAGGCAAACAGTACATGTTCCTGGTGGGGCGATTTTCAACCATTTGGAACACAACATTGTTTAATTTTGGCATGTACGGCCAAACATCCATCTCTGAGATCGAAGTCGTTTTCAGCTGATGTTCAACGTTTGAGTTGGAAACAACAGCTGGCTTTTGGCTCGTTGGGTCCCGTAGCTTGAGAACGGCTGAAGTATCTCCAAGACAGTCAGGCCGAAATTGGTCCTGTGTCCTGATCGATTGCAGCAGGGTGGCCAAACTGACTCACATCAGTTTTCAGTAATCACATATTTATGTATAATGTATATAATGTATAATATAATATAATATAATCTAATATAATATAATTACATTCTCTGGTCAAAGTGACAACCTGCTGGGTAGCACTGTTTGCCAACCTCACAGCCTCTTTTATTTGAAGATGATTCTGAACATGTGTGGAAGGAATGCATTTCAATCATTTCTTTCATTGTATTTCCATCCTCTTCCCTATCTTCCCTTCCAACACCTTCCTAAGCACCAATGTCTGGACCCCAGTTGAACTGCAGAGTTCAGGGCAGAATGCTCCACTTATCATATGGTGGCTCTCAAATTAGAAACACGGTCCTTGTTCTCGCTTCTTTCCTTGGCTTCTGGCCGTTTGGTCTTTGTCTCCTGGATTTGTGTCTGTTTCGGAGTTTTAGCAAATGATGCTGCCAACTTGAGAAGCTGCTAGCAAAACATCAAAACTCATTTGCAAGCAAGGCGTGCTGGCGTGGCACCTCTCACAACTCATACAAGACATTACAAGACTTCACAACAAATATCAACAAACACTTATGCAGCGCACTTGAATTTTTCCATACTTTTCCCAGGCGATCTTTGTCCTGGAGCCTTTCCTTCTTGGGAAGGGATGTGAAATGGCAATCCCCTTGAGGCATTGCAGAATGCTTTGCGATGTTTCTCGCACTTTAGGCCATTCAAAAGCCTTCAATCCCCAAAAAACTGAAGGAATATAACTTTGATACCCTCCCCTATCTTTACAAAAAAACCTTCCACCTTCCAAACATGGGCTCACATGGCTCAGAGCCGAAAAGGTCTTCTCTGCCGCTGTGGTGGCTTGATCCACCAAGGGACTGTCGGGACTGTCTCTGGTGCGCCCGGGCTTTGGGACCCAACAGCTTGGATTTCCACTGGATCCACTGGATTGGTTGACGTTGTGACTGGAGCTGGGGAAGCGGGGCTAACTGGAACACCAAATGGCAGTGCGGAGGAAGGATTTCTGGCAGGTTTCTCCAAAACTGGAGGAGGTGTGATCCCCAAGGGCTGCCGTGGTTTGCGAGTACTTGGACATTGGAACTTTGGTGGAGCTGACAATGCCACCCCTTTATGTCTGATGATTACTTTCTTGGGCTCGCTTGGTAGCATTTGGAGTCGTTCATGAAAGGCCTGCATGACGCGTGGAATAGAAACATGGAGGCAAATTGAAGTCAGCTTGGATACCTCACAAGCACAAACCTTTGTGGCTTTGCGCTTTACGATTCCTGGCTCGTCGAGTACCATGCGAGACCCCTTTGACCTTGACACTTTGGCACCGTGGTCCCTGACCGGTAGAACTGGTGGCTCCTGAATTGCTGATGGTAATCGCGGTGTTGCATTATGAGTTGCAGTCAAAGTTCCCAACTTTGCCCGCAGGAACAAGCTTGGGCCCTCTCTGAGATGGCGGATGGCTGGTGGTGACATCCAGATTTCGACAGGTTCGAGTCGTCCCACAGGCCGACCTCTGCCAGCTCCAGCTGCGCATTTGTACAAGTCTGGCACGAGTGCAAGCACTGGGACTTGCTGTGCCACTTTTTGACAAGCACTCCTTGATGTTGGGTACAGCTCCAACAAGTGAGGAATTGGTCTCAAAACGAATTGTGAGATCTTTATGGAGATCAGAGTTGGCAACTGCGGGGCTGTTTGCGTCTCTCCGGGCAGCCGCCTGCAAGACGTCCATGCCAATCCCACTTCTCGTTCTGAGCATTTGCGCGGCACAACCACTCCAACTTCAACTATTGGGGGTGCAGGGCTCACACACATTGGACCAACTGCCCAAGCATCTCTTGCTCGGTCGGATGGAACGGTGATGCAAATCTCAATGGCTCTGGGAAGCACGGCCTCGCTTGAGGGGCACAACTCAGGCAACAGGAGAGGAAGATCTGGATTGGAAGGGACAACTGATGGTGGAAATGGCCCAGGTGGTGGGATCAGTTCTTGGGTGTTGATTGCTGGCAGTTGGATGGGGATGGGTGGTGGAACTGGTGGTGGACTGGGTGGCCATTTCACATATGCATATGGCACCGATGGCTGCACTGGAAGCACCACGAAACGGCGCAATTTGCAGTATCTCCGCATGTACAACAATGACAGGATGATCAAAGCAACGATGGCAAATCCAAGGAGTGGACAAAGGATATACACAGCTGTAAGATCTTCTGGTGTGGTTGTGGTGGTGGTCATGCTGCTGCTAGTTGAGGTGGTCATGGTTATGGTGGAAGAAGTGGAACTGGTCTGAGTTTGAGAGGAAGTGGTTTGAGTGGAGCTGGAGCTTGTCTGTGTGCTCGAAGTTGAGCTGGATATAGTGAGGCTGGTGGAACTTTTGGTGGCGGAAGTAGTGCTGGTGGAACTGGTACTGGTGAAACTGATGCTGAAGCTGGTGGTAGTGGAACTGAAGCTTCTTGAGCTTGTGCTTGTGCTGCTGGATGTGGCGCTGGTAGAGGTGGTCTGAGTGTGAGAGAAACTGGTCGAAGTGCTGTGCGTGGTGGTGGAAGTGCTGCTGGATGTGGATGTAGTGGCGCTGCTGCTGGTTGACAGTGTGCTACTGCTGGTACTTGATGTGATGCTGAACGTCAGTGTGGTACTTGTGGAAGTGCTAGTGCTGGCAGAGCTACTGGTGCTGCTGTGGGAAATTGTCGAAGAGGATGTGACGGAAGTGCTGAGCGTCAAGGAGCTGCTGGTCGTTTTGGAAGAGCTTCTGCTTGTTGTGGAGGTCACGCTTGTGCTGGATCTGCTGAGAGTTGTTGTTGAAGTGGCTGTGGAGGTGACTGTGCTGGAAGTGCTGATGCTGGAAGTTGAGGAGATGGACGTTGTGTAGCTTGTTGTGGTGGTTGTCCATTGGTAGCACCACATGTCATGCTGCAAAAATCCGTCGGAATAACCACCATGGACACAAAGTGATGTCGTTGTGACATCGAACGCAGCCGCGTGGTTAAACCGCCGTGATGGGCCTTCTTTATCAGCAATCAGTTGCCATGCGTAGTTCTCCACATCAAATCTCCAAAGATCGCGACAGAAAGACCCGCCGTCAAATCCGCCGTGAATCCAAAGAGCTCTGTTGGTTGGATCCCAGCCAGCTACATGAAAAGCTCGAGCTGATGGACCACCCATGGCAATCAGATTCCAGTTGTTGCTGCCGACCGTGGTGTCATATCTCCACAGATCCTGTTGCAAACCTCCTTTGACTTCTCCACAGGAACCTGGAAATGAGGCAAACGAGAATCGTCATTTGCACAAAAAAAGGTGATGGTCACGATACTTTTTCTGACATAATGGACATATTTATAATATATGTCATGACATATTTGTAATGGAAAATCCTCCCTCTACCTTTACCTGACCATTGACTGGAAGCATTTGAGGAACTTCCCCAGCGGAAAAACAGCGAATAGAATACGATGTTGACTCTTGCAACGATTTGAATGACGACCTTTATGAAGAACTTTCAGGAAATGATTGCCAGAAACTCAGAGGTTTTCCTACAATCTTCTCTTCTCGTGATGCGACCCGTAACGAGTAGCGTCCTTCCTGTACTCAGAGCGCGTAGTACTTCAACATGATGACTATCGATGATAAATGATGACCGTAGAGTTTACAGTCTGGAAATCTAGTACCTAGTTCTCGGAATGTTTGAGCAGAAAGGGATTAGACAAGAATCCAACTTGTTTTTACCAACGTTCTGAAATCTTCTAGACCTTCTTTTGACTTATCCGTGATTGCAGCACTCTACTGCTATGCTTTGCTGATATCGCTGCGCTGCAACAATTTTAGGCCGCTCAGACCAGCTGAACGGCACCCTTCCCTATATTTGTATTTATTTTGTCAATATTTTAAATCAATGTTTCTTGCTTACAGTCTGTGACTAAATCCCTTGGTGCAAGAGAACCGATCCAATCTAATACCACACGATCTTGAAGCACACTTATGTGTTTTGACTTTTTGCAAGACAACATGCACCCGGGAACAGGATCAATCCTTTCGATCAAGGGACGATTGTATCCAGCATGAATCCAAATAGCTCGATCTACTTCATCCCAAACTGCCACATGATTTGCTCGCGCAAAAGGTTGATGCTGACTGTTCGGAAGAAGCGTCCAGGTGCCCTGTTGCGTGTCGAACTTCCAGAGGTCTTGGTTCAAGGTGCAGTCGAAGAGTCCACCGTGGATCCAAATGGCCCGGTTCGATGCATCCCAAACAGCCACATGCTGACTACGTGCCGAGGGACCCGGCGCCATGATGTTTGTCCACGTGGAGGCGGAGTACCTCCACAAGTCATTGAAGTAGTGGACACCATTGTAGCCACCATGGATCCAAAGCACTCCATTTGGATCCCAAACAGCCACGTGATCCCCTCGCGCCATAGGTGCCTGATTCAGCTGTCGCTGTTCCCAGCTGCCAGTGTCAAAGTCAAACACCCACAACTCCTCCGAGAAGTCACCGTGGCTTCCTCCGTGGATCCAAAATTCATGAGCGGTTCCTCCATGGAACGTTGCGACGTGCACGGAACGTCCTGATGGTCTCGTTCCCAACTCCTGAACTCTGCTCCAGCCACCAAGAACTACCAGAAGCCACTGGATTAGGCACAGCCCTTTGAGTGTGCCCATGACAGTGCCATGAAGCTTGTCCAGTGCATATATGGCATACCCCACTGCATACCACCTACTCTGCCTGAGCCGTGAAACAACTGCTGGAACTGGCATCTTTAATCATTTTTAGCAAACGTAGAGGCCACCAACACTCTCATCCCCCTTGTCAACGACATGCAACGACCATGATTCTCATGGATGTGGGACTGGGAAATAAACTGAAACCAACTTACCTGATAGAAACGGTGGACAGTGCATACTGGTTAGCCAGATATTAGGCAGTATGGAGATGATTCTGCTTTGGTGAGAGGATGAATCACGATTACATGCAGCTTCTGTGGTGGCCACCCGTTGCCAAGTGGAGTCTGACCATCGGCACCTGGTTGGTTTTTGGCAACGGTTTTCACTGGTTTTCAACAGTTTTTCAAGCAAAGAAAGGTCCTCCAGGTCTTCGCTGCAGGAGAATGGGATAGAATGGGCCTTCAATATTCAGAGATTTCCGAGCTATGTCGGCTGTATTTGGCTGTATTTGGCTGTCTTGCGTATTTCATCGTATTTCTATAGGCTAGATCTGCTCTGTGCTTCGCAGGAGTCTTCGCATGATAGGCAAGACCATTCAATAGAGTGAGTTCATAAATGAGTTCATGAGGGCACGAGATGAAAACCAGCAAATCGCAAATCATCTGAAGTTTGTGCAATTTGACATCAAAAGATATTGAACAATTGGCAAACATATATCAGCAGCAAGAACCAGCTGTGGCACAACCATGTCACCATGTCCTACCCAGAAACATCAGGCCTGGCCATCCAGGCGTCAGCGTAGTACCACTATTTACCCTCAGTGGATGCAGGAGTTACCCAACTTCATCTCCAAATATATATTTACAATATATATATATGTGTGTTATTGTATCTGTATATTGCTTTATCTATGTATATACCTTTATATATCTTCAAATATATCTTCATGATGGTTTGCAGATTCAACCCAAGCTGCAAACCTTGTCCCTTTCAATGGAGTCATATGGAGTCATACATTTCGCATCTGAGACCAAAACACGTTTCTTCCGGCAGATGTCCTGGCGACCCCAGCAGCACCATGGAAGATGCAAAATTGAGGAAGCACAACTGAACATGACAAAACGCGGTTGTTCTTTTTTGATCGTGTATTTGCAAATAAAAACGCATAAAGTATCATAAGAATATCATATAAAGAACTGTCTGCCCTTCACTTCCAGCATCACACTGAGGCAATCAACTCCTATCCTCCGCTCCTTGTCCAGTACCAGGCCAGCAGTAACACAGCTCAAACTGCTGCCTCAGGTGGAGCACCACGGAATCTCAACCATTATCAACCATCAAATTGTACCAAATTCATCTAGGCACGCGGCATGCTTGCATTTACAGAAGTGCTGCCTGATGTTGCCTGGATCCACCCTGTGATGCAGAATCGTAACTTCCACTTTTCGGCAGCTCTCCTTGTTAGAAAGCACCCATTGCAGATCTGAATTCCACTGACGGATCTTTGCGCCTTTCACTTTGAACATTGAGGATGACATCTTTGGTCCCCTCATCCCAGCATTATCAACATTTATCAATATTGTCAACGTAAAATCCTAATGCTACAATGACCGCAAAGGATCACACCAAGCCGAAGCCGATACTCTTTCAGCGTTCAGTTTCCAGACTTGGAATGTAGAACGCCCGTTCTCGACTCGAAGTCGTTCTCTGGCGCAGTCTCTGACCCCTCGAACCTCTCGCGCATTTTGTTGCTCCCTTTGGACCAAGATTCTCCGCAGGTGTCTGGAGAACTGGTGGAGCTGTGATCCCTCTGGGAATTCTGGGTTCCTGGGACTTTGGCCACTGCGGCTCTGTTGGTTTCTGACTCAGACATGTTGGGTCTGGACAAATCTGAACGGTCACAGGGCTCGAAGCAGATGCCAAAGATAAAGATATCAGTCTTTTGCCAAACACATCTGGACTTGCGACACTATGACGACTTCGATTGTCTTGTGTCCGAGCAAGTTGAAGCTCTGGCACTGAGCCGTGTGGTACTCGATATTGGCTACTGACAGGTGCTTCTGGAAGGAACTCCGACAATGGAAGCTGTCTTTCCACAGTCTGACTAGCTCCGCTAGCTCTTGTGGCCGTTGGAAGATTTGGAAGCCAGAAAATGGTCAAAGTCTGTGTTTGTGCTGGCTGGCCTCGATGCAGAAAACATTTGCACCGTAGTCTTTCCTGCTCCCGAAACGCAGATGATCTTTGCACACTTGGTGCTTCCGTCGTCGGTCGGGATCTCACATTCAACAAAGGCGATGGTTGTACCGAAACTACCACAGCTCTTTGGCCATTCTGGCCATTCTGTCCTCTTTCTACTTGCTTCGGTAGATCCACAAAGCTTGGCTCTGATGCAAACACGACATGACGCTGGAGCCTGGGTGGCTTTTGTGACGCTCTAAAGGACGCAGCATGTCGTACTGCTCCAGTTCCTGGGAGCCACGTCTTGGAGGCAACTGCCACAGTTGCAGGTGTTTGCAAAGCTGGCGTTGACTGTGTCGGTGATGCTCGAGGTTCCAGACCTGGAGCTTCGACCCTTGGCATGGGAAGGTCGATGTCAATACAGAGATGCAGTGGCGCCTGCGGCGCCTCTGGCGCTTCTGGCAGGCGCAGCTCTTTATGTCTGGGATGTACTTCTCCGATGCATGTGGTGAGGTCCGGGAGATTCAAAAGCCCAAGTGGCCAAGGGTCAAAATGGTGAAGAATTCGAGCTATGCGAGGAGAGGGCGCAGGCACTTGGAGCAGTTGTGTGTTGGTCACCCACAGCGACCACACCGTGGGCGGCTCAGGTGGTGGACACGGTGGCGGCGGCGGAGCTGGCGAAGTTGGTATCACGAAACGACGCCGACGCTTCCGAGCCCAACAAGCCATGACCACCACCATGATTGACAGTCCAAGCACAAGAACTCCCATAATTGGACAAAGGATCATGAGAAGTGTCCAATCTTCTGCCCTTAAAGATCCTAAAGTGGATGTGCTGGTGGATGTAGTGGCAGTGGTTAGCGTTTTGCTTGAGGTGGTGAAGCTTGACGTCGTTTCAGTAATGCTGAATGTGGAGCTAGTGCTGACTGTGCCGGTGCTGCTCTGTGAGCTACTGCTCGTTCTGGAGACGGTCACTGAAGTGCTGGAAGTGGAAGTACCAGTGCTGGTTTGAGTGCTTGTTGTTGACAGTGTGCTGGAAGAGGATGTTGTTCTTGAACGGGTAGAGCTACTTGTACTTTGCGAGGTAGTAGTGCTGGTGGTTGTGGTGGCTGTCGCTGAAGTGCTGGAAGTAGAAGTGCCAGTGCTTGTTTGTGTGCTTGTGGTTGTAGTACTGCTTGTCGTTGTAGTGAGCGTCGCTGATGTGCTTGAGGTGGATGTCTCAGTGCTGGTTTGAGTGCTCGTGGATGACAGCGTGCTGGAAGAGGTAAGTGTTCTGGAACGGGTAGAGCTACTTGTACTTTGGGAGGTAGTAGTGCTGATGGTCGCGGTGATTGTCGCTGAAGTGCTGGAAGTGGAAGTACCAGTGCTGGTTTGAGTGCTTGTACTTGACAGTGTGCTAGAAGAGGTTTTTGTTCTTGTGCTGCTGGAGCTACTTGTGCTCTGCGAGATAGTACTTGTGCTGGTTGTGGTGACTGTCGCTGAAGTGCTGGAAGTCGAAGTGCCGGTGCTGGTTAGGGTGCTTGTAGTTGACAGTGTGCTGGAAGAGGTTGTTGTTCTTGTGCTGCTAGAGCTGGTTGCACTTTGTGAAATGGTACTGCTGGTGGTTGTCGTGACTGTTGCTGAAGTGCTGGATCTTGTGCTTGTGGAACTTGTACTTGAAGAAGATCGGGTGGTGGTTGTCGTTGCTGTGCCACTGCTGCTGGAGCTACTGGTGACCGTAGTGCTGGAAGTTTCCGAACTGGAAGTGGATCTAGTGCTCGAGCTGGAGCTTGTAGTCACACTGGAGCTGGCAGTTGAAGAAGTCGACATGCTGCTGCTTGTGCTGGTGACGTCAAATCGCCACAAATCACGCTGCAGCGGCCCATTTTCCACGTAACCGCCATGAAGCCAAAATGAGGCACTCGTTACATCCCAAGCAGCGATGTGATTGAAGCGAGCTGATGGGCCACCCTGGTAAATCAAGACCCAGGTGGAACTGGCGGTATCAAATCTCCAGAGATCTTCGCAAGCCATGCCATCAAAACCACCATGAATCCACAGTGCCAACTTTGTTGGGTCCCATGCTGCGACATGATAGGCCCATGCTGTTGGACCATCAACAGCCATAAGGCTCCATTCACTGGTTGCTGTATCAAACCTCCACAAGTCGCGGCACAAGCCTCAGCTGAGAAGTTGGAGATGAAAGGGGTCAGGGGCCATGGTGATCTGCTGATAATATATACAGCAGTGGGACTTGCCTGTGAAATGTTATTATTGTATATTATTGTGAACAGTTCCAGTGCACAATAACCTCTTCAACACAGGAGGCCAAGCATCTGAAACATTGCAACAGTGTGTAGGACTTGTATTTGGCCAACGGCGAAACAGGGGACGTAACTGCCCACATTTTATAACATATCCCACATACAGCGTACATACCTTTCTTGGTTAATTTCTTTTGTACTTGAAGTCAGTCGCCCCTTGGCGGTACTGGTTTTCCAATGCTTGTAGCTGGCTCATGGCTGTGGACACAAAAGCAAGCACTATGTTTGTATCATGTTCAAAAGACCATGGATCTTGACACAAATAAGGGGGATAGGAACACACAACGACTTGATTAAGAAGGACAGTCCAATGGCACACACATCAGAAAACAGTTTCGCCGTCTCTGTCTGTAAAGTGCGCTTTGTCATACGGTCTCCCCGTATGAAATGTTATAATAATAATATTATGTATATATATATATTCTAGATAAGGAGTGGGATTGAAAGCTTCTCTGAGCTGATAGACAAAAATCAGCAAAAGAAACACTCCATATCCTCTCTGATTCCAATAGTGTATACTTCTTTTAATGCCAGTTAAAGTGAATGATAATAGGAAGCCCAACAACAATACCAACTCTCATGGTGACTCAGGTCATCAATGCCTGATTCAATCCCATTCAAAAACTAGTCCGTGCTGCCATCTGGACAGCATATTGGCTCGCAACAATTTGCACGTACATTGTCTTCTACTAGTACCAAATGGCAATGTGTTGCAACAACTCTGAGACTGGAGAGTCATTTACAGCACTATCCAAAATGACGCCCAAACAGCATGTCCGTGTCAGTTTTCCGATATGTTCCCATCCCCTTCATTTTTGCGGAGGCACCTTGTTCATCATATCCTCCGTGAAGCCATATTGCCAGGCGAGCATCATCCCAAACAGCGACATGTTGGGCTCGTGCAGATGGCATGTTGGGAGTCTGGATGAGAGACCAATCAGAGTCATATTTCCAGAGGTCTGACTTTAAGTTCCCATCATATCCACCATGGATCCACAGGACTGAATGGATGGAATCCCACACAGCCACCTGGTTGGTGGTTGACCTACCCCTCTGAAAAATATTAGTCAGTTGGGATGATTATTCACAGTATATGGAAAAATAAAAAGTTCCAAACCACCAACCAGCTACATGTTCACTTCGTGCGCATGGTCCCGCTACACTGTTGCCAGCAATCATGGTCCAATTGTCTGAATACTTCCAGAGGTCCTTGACGAAGTTAGTGCCGTCAAACCCACCATGAATCCAAAGAGCCCCACTTGGATCCCAAACAGCCACATGGTCTTTGCGTTCGGATGGGCCAACATGGCCAGACTGCCAAGGAAGCGCTGCAGTTATTGAAGTCCAGGCATTGGTTGTAGCATCAAACGCCCACAAATCCTTCAGGATCTGTTCTCCTGCGCCCGCGTGGACCCAAAATCTTTGTCTGCTGCTATCCCAGGCTCCAGCATGGACAGACCGCGCAGATGGGCCAACATCTTCTGTGACGAGACTCCAACTTGCACGTGCAGAAGCCAAGAAATTGATCAGGCAGAGTCGGCACAACTTCTTCCATTCCGAACCCATCGGCCCCCATGGTATCGTCGGTACCCACTTCATTGAGGGTCCATGATTGAGCTATAAAACATATTGCGGAAGACCAATCCTCGTTCAAATGGTGGAGTATGGTGGAGTACATGGATCGCTTACATCCCCTTCGTTGTATCCTTCGTTTAGCTGGTACGGAACTACAGGTATGTGATGCCATGTCATCTCTTTTGAAGTTTCGGGTCCAAACTGTCGCCCAAATGTGCCAAACCCAGAACATACATGCTGGCAGAATCTGGCGCAAGATCTTGATCCGTTCAGTTGAAACTCCACAGACAAGTCTAGCTACGAACGGCCAGAACACAGCCGACTTTGCCTTCAAATATATACTGTAACCTTCATATAACCTTCAAACATCGCGCCAAGTCCCGAACTGCTGGAGCAATGCCGACAGCATCGCAGCATGGCATACATCGTAAGGTGAGAGCCTGGCACCGCGAAGGCTTGCGAAGGCTTGCTTGACAGAAACATCAGAAACCAGAGCAAGGGATGACAACTGTGGTTCCCACAGTAGCCGTGTTTGGATGTTTTTGGAACTTGTAGTCTGAATGCAACGTGATACATCTCAAGCCTCTTGAAATGGGCAAGTGCAGGCAACCTGATGCAACCTGTATTTCTTTTCTTCTTGTGCGTGCCAGTAGCGCTTCATGTGTTTGTCAGAAACACTGAGGCACGAGTATCCAAACAGGCAAGCCATTACTTGCCTGAGTGGCTTTCCAAGGAAAAGGCTGTAGAACTATAGAACTGTCAACAAATGCACAAAGCACACCATGAAAGTGCACATCACAAGAATACATGAAGGATTCTGCTAATGAGCAACAAAATGGAACAACTTCCGATCTTCTGTGGCTTGTCCTTGGATATTGGCTAAGACTCACGAGTAACTCACACGAGTAACCCACCTTAGTGGTCGTGGAAGCCACGCTGTGCGCTGCGGCATCCCAAGCTTTGCGCTGTTTCACGCTGGCCTGGCCTTGAAATAGACACTGTAAACATCTAGAAAAATGCAACATGAAATAACATGAATCATGATCTAATTCATATCTAATTCACATACTAGAAAGTTGAATCGAAAGTTGGGAGAGAGCTTCGGACTTCGTGTGATTAGCATGACCCCAGCATTCCATTCGACTTTGTGGCTCTCCATTTAGTATCTTGAGGCAGTCTCCCAACAGCTTAGACACCTTTCCGTGCAACGGCACACGTCAACTACATCGTCGTCTAGATGACGACACTCCGTCAAACTTTTCTGCACTTTCCACAGACCTTGCACTGTATTCCTTGGACTGGCAACGGTCTGGCTTGACTTGCAATGGCAATATCTCTACCAGTTGTCGAAACCTCTCTGGGGCTTCCACAAATCTGTGATCTCTCTGAACGGGGTAGATCACCGGGTAGATCACGGGGTAGATTCGGTAGATCCGCGGCTCTCTCCGTTCTGCCTGGGGCCCTGGGTCTGCACGATGCGCAGCTTTTTGCCGCCTGTAGTTTCAGGACCTCCACTTGATCCAACGGAGGTGCATTGGGAGCACAGCACTTTGGAGCACAAATGGGCAATTGGTGTGGCTCCGGGATGGAAAGCGGAACATATGCAGGAAAGGCTGCAGTTCGAGATTGCTCAGGTTTGGGCGGGGGTTGCTGGGGGCTAGGCGGTGGAACAAGCACTTGCATGTTGACTCGAAGTTGCGGGGATCCTGGGGATGGTGGTGGTGGCTCATGTGGTGGCAGCGGTGGTGGTAAGGGTGGTGGGACTGGAACAACTGCTCGGCTCTTCTGCCTCTTCCGGTACCAGTAAAAAGCAACAAGGCACAACGCAACTCCGAGGACACTCAATGCCAGGATCAAAGCAAGGACATCTGATGGCAACTCTTCCGTGGCAGTCCCGAAGGCGGGCGGAATGCTAGCAGTACTAGTGCTAGTGGTGCTTCTGGTCATACTGGTGGTGGTTTGGCTGGAGGTCATGGAGGTTTTCGTCTCGGTGCTTGTGCTGGTGACAAGTGGCACCTCAAACTTCCACAAATCTCTCCGGAAACCTTGGTCATAGCCACCATGGACAAGGATCATCGAGTGTATCCCGTCCCAAGCAGCCACGTGATCATAGCGTGCTGAAGGGCCACTTTGTGCCACAGTATTCCACGTGGAAGTCAACTGTTCGAACCTCCACATATCCTGACAAGCCATCCCATCAAACCCTCCATGAATCCACAGTGCTTGGTTCAGTGTGTCCCAAACTGCTACATGATGAGCTCGTGCTGACGGACCGCCAGTGGAAATCAGATTCCAAGCATAGGTTCGGGTGTCAAACTTCCAGAGATCTCCAAGCAAGCCTCACTTGCTCAGCAGATATCAAAAGCTGGACAATCATTTCTCCAGAAAGTAGCAAGAATAAGTTCACAGATCATTCATATCCTAGAAGTCTGCTTGAGACCTGAACCCTATCAGTATCACCTATTGTAGGTGATGTGAGAACACTGAACAAATCTACTACCTCAATATTAACTATGCCTCCCAAGAGCTACCTTACCAGATTTTGAGACCAACAACTTTCTTTGCATTCATATTTTAGCCCATATTCAAAGTGGAACAATAGGGAACCGGATCCCTACAAAGACCATCACATAGTATCAAATTATGATAACTCTCATGCTACCAGCGTCTTTAATCCTACATGAGACCAAAACAAGAAGAAGCAATGGCTCTAGAGACCAAAAGAACTTGTTTCCCTGCAAGACAAAGCACTTTCATCATATCCACCATGAATCCAAATCACTCCATTCATGGCATCGAGTGCAGCAACATGATGAGCACGTGCAGAGGGCCGATTGTAATCGTCTGTGATGCTGAACCAGCGGCCTCTTTCAGCTTCGAACTTCCAAATGTCTTGTCTGAGGACACCATCGAATCCGCCATGAATCCAAAGGGCTCCATTGAGGGAATCCCATACCCCAACATGGCTACTGCGACTAGGCACGGATCCATTTGATACCAGGGTCCATCTGTTCGTGGACAGTTTCCACAGATCGTTGAAAAAAACCGTGTCGTCTTGTCCACCGTGAATCCACAAATCCCCGTTGCCATCTGTCACTGCCACATGCTCTTTACGTGCAGAGGGGGCAGCACTGAAGACTTCTGCAATGCCAGATGAAGTCCAGGCCTTGGCAGCTTCATGGAAGAGCCATATGTCGCTCAAAACGGCTTCATCTTTACCTCCAAAGATCCACAGGACTTGATTCTTCGCGAAGGCAGCGGCATGTCCAGCACGTGCAGAAGGGCCATCGTTTTCGGCCAAGAGACTCCAACTGGCCACTGCCATAGGCCAATTTATCCAATGTATCAAACAGATGTAACGACTTCCCCTCCGCATCTGGCAACCTGACATTCATCCTACAGCTGCTGCAGAAATCTACAGAAATCAACAAAACCTCTAAGCGGTTTGAACGAGTGGCCTGCGGAATCAAAGCCTCTTGCAGTATCAAGTCCTCTTGTCCATCCTGTCTTGAAAACGTTCCCATGAAGCAAACACTTCTGGGTCAGTCAAGGTCCTCAAATTCCAACTTAGATGGACTGTAGCCGTGTAGCCAGTGGCTGCTACAACAACTAAAATGAAGATAAAATATGTACTGTAATGATTGTGATGATCTAAAACACATTATATAATCATTATCAAAAACGTAAAGACGCGAAAAAATGAATTGACAGCACACAACAACACCCAACTTGTAAAAAGCAGCACGTTGCCTCTGCCATCTGCTAAGCAGGTGCACTGCGCCGCTTACAACTCCGCCTATCGCTCCAATTGGCAGGTTCAACAAATTGTACTTCAAATTTCTTATGACACAATCTTAAACACGTGGTCATCTTTCATCACTTTCTGCAACTGAAATTACATTGAAATTAACCTTCGACCAGTGCGTAGGCAGTGCTTTGTGATGATGCCCAACCATCTGACAGAATGCCCACCCTGCTGAGCAGGCTAAGCATCTGTCAATCTGTGACGGTCTGAAGGTGAAAGTGGTTGGCCCGCTAATGCACACAATCTATTTCAATAAATGTATTTATCATTTAATTATATCATGTATATAATATATTCAATATGTGTGTATATATATAAATATAAATTATACCTGTATGAATATAAATAGATATATATATGTATATATATATATATAAATTATACCTGAGAGGGAGGAAACGAAAGCCAGCGAGGATTGAACGCGCATTCAAACACCATTGTTAAAGCATCCTCCAACTGTTGTCCCGGGAAGGGAAGTAAGATCCGCATGTGCATGTCTTTGATGTTCCCGATACTGATAACATTAAATACATTTGAATACTACCGCCAACTTGTTGCAAAAAACGTGTAGGTCAATGTACCTCACATGCGGCAAGCAACTCGAGTTGGTCTCTCACCCCCTGGCATCTGCATCGCTACACCCTAAACCTGACTGGATCGCATGTGGTTTAGCCATCTTTAGTGCCAAACAAAGAAAAAACAAAAAAGATAAAGCATCTTCAACGCGAAGCCCGCCGGAAGGATCAGCCGTTGAGGTTCAGCGTGGCTCTTCCCCTCAGGCCATAACACCCGCAGCGCTTCATCCATCAGGAGCATCACGCAAATCCGACAAAAGTGTTCAAGCATCCTCACTGTGAAGACCACCGGACCAGATCAGCCGTTGAGGTTCAGCATGGCTCTTCCCCTCAGGCCTTCCATGCGAAGCCCGCCGGACAAGATCAGCCGTTGAGGTTCAGCATGGTTTCACGCATCTTCACTGCGAAGCCCACCGGACCAAATCAACCGTTGAGGTTCAGCATGGCTCTTCCCCTCAGGCCATATCACCCGCAGCGCTTCATCCTTCAGGAGCAACACGCAAATCCGACAAGAATGTTCAAGCATCTTCAATGCGAAGCCCACCGGACCAGCTCCGCTGTTGAGGTTCAGCATGGCTCTTCCCCTCAGGCCATATCACCTGCAGCGCTTCATCCATCAGAAGCTTCACCCAAATCCGACAAGAATGTTCAAGCATCAATGCGAGGCCCACCGGACCAGATCAGCCGTAGAGGTTCAGCATGGCTCTTCCCCTCAGGCCTTCAATGCGAAGCTCGCTGGACCAGATCAGCCGTTGAGGTTCAGCATGGTTTTTCGTTTCAGGCCATATCACCCGCAGCGCTTCATCCATCAGAAGCTTCACCCAAATCCGACAAGAATCTTCAAGCATCAATGCGAAGCCCACCGGACCAGATCAGCTGTTGAGGTTCAGCATGGCTCTTCCCCCTCAGGCCATATCACCCGCAGCGCTTCATCCATCAGAAGCTTCACCCAAATCCGACAAAAATGCGCAAGCCTTTTCAAAGCGAAGCCCACCGGACCAGATCAGCTGTTGAGGTTCAGCATGGCTCTTCCCCCTCAGGCCATATCACCTGCAGCGCTTCATCCATCAGAAGCTTCACCCAAATCCGACAAGAATGTTCAAGCATCAATGCGAAGCCCACCGGACCAGATCAGCCGTTGAGGCCCAGCGTGGTTTTCCTCTCAGGCCAAATCACCTGCAGCGCTTCCTCCATCAGAAGCTTCACTCAAATCTGACAAAAATGTTCAGGGATCTTCACTGCGAAGACCACCGGACCAGATCAGCCGTTGAGGTTCAGCATGGCTCTTCCCCTCAGGCCTTCAATGCGAAGCCCACCGGACCAGATCAGCCGTTGAGGTTCAGCATGGTTTTTCGTTTCAGGCCATATCACCCGCAGCGCTTCGTCCATCAGAAACTTCACGCAAATCGGACAAAAGTGTTCAGGCATCTTCACTGCGAAGCCCACCGGACCAGATCAGCCGTTGCGGTTCAGCATGGCTCTTCCCCTCAGGCCTTCAATGCGAAGCCCGCCGGACCAGATCAGCCGTTGAGGTTCAGCATGGTTTTTCCTCTCAGGCCATATCGCCTGCAGCTTCCCCTCAGGCCTTCAATGCGAAGCTCGCCGGACCAGATGGGCCGTTGAGGTTCAGCATGGTTTTTCCTCTTAGATCCCCGTTGGTTCGAACTCTTAGGGTCTACAGCCCCCATTCCAGCCAATTTTCTGGCTGAAAAGGTAAGTACCAAGACTGAAAGCCATGGGCTGGAAACATGACCCCAACCCCAATAATATAGCCAAAGTAGGAAAAGTACTAGCATGTTCCCGTGGCTGAAAACTAGGGGATGTGAGGTTACCTTGCATCTTACAACTTACATGTTTCAAGTGGCTGAAACCACAGGCGCCTGAGATGCAGGCCCCAGGATTTATTGCGCAATGGCTGGAAACTTGGGATTCATCTCTTGGTTGATGTGTCTGTTTTCCCAATGTTGTTGATCTCCGTTGGTGCAGCATTTTAGACAGGCTCCGAGGTTTTTAGCCCCAAATGGTGGCTAGAATCCTTCAATAAAAATGGTGTCTGAGGTACAAACTGCTAAAACTGAAAACCAGTGCCTGACATTTCTGGCATTCCAGAGTGGAACTCATGAAACTCAGGCCCTGGGTTTTCACCTTGTGCTATGTCATGTTCATGAAACTCAGGCCCCTGGTTTTCATCCTGTGCAAGCACTTCACTATTTCATATTCATGACACTCAGGCCCCAAGTTTTCCACCTGTGCAAGCACTTCACTATTTCATTTGCATGCATTTTCATGAAACTCAGGCCCCAGGTTTTCAGCCTGTGCAAGAATGTCATCATTTAATTTTCATGAATCTCAGTCTCATGTTTTCAGCCTGTGCATGCACCTCACTGCTTAATTTTCATGAATCTCAGGCCCCGGTTTTCAGCCACTGTGAGCAATTTCTACCTTCATTCTCTCCTATCCCTTAACACCTAGGACTTCATCTCTTTCCACCGCTTCATTTACCGGAACAGCTCTCCAAGTTACACTGGGCATTTCCGCAAACCTGCCCTGAACCCATTCCCAAACTCCACAAAACCTGAGACCCCGAGATTTCATCTCACACATCCCTGTTTTGAACTCTGCCAGAACAGCTCTCCAGGTTACAGCGCGCATTTCCCCACATCTGTCTCGAACCAATGTCCCAAGAAAAACCCCACAAAACCTCAGACCCCGAGATTTCATCTCACACATCCCTGTTTTAAACCCTGCTGGAACAGCTCTCCAAGTCACAGCGCGCACTTCCGCAAATCTGTCAAACCAATGTCCCAAGAAAAAAACACAAAACCTCAGACCCCAAGATTTCATCTCACACATCCCTGTTTTGAACTCTGCCCGAACAGCTCTCCAAGTTACACCGCGGATTATCAGCCTTGAATATCATGCCTGCAGGAATCATACACAACCACTCATTTCTGCAAAGCCATCCACTATGGCCCAAAAAAACAAAGGGATAAACATAGGGATCCATGTGTTCAGGCCATGTCTCTTGATGTCTTTTGATGTCTTTCCATGTGCTCAAATATATTCAAATAGATGCAAGTATATTCAAATATATTCAAATATACTATCTACAAATCCCGATGCACATCTAGCAAATGCAAGAGAGAGGTGCTGGAGGCAACATCGGAACAAAGTTAAAACAGCAAGACCCGGAGAATAAAAACTTGTACTGAGGTTTAAGGGTTTATGCCGTGAGCACTTCAAGTTCCCGTAACCAAAATTATATTGTAGATGAAAACCTGTGCACTGAAGTTCCCCTGGATAGCTGCTGAATTCTTTGGAAAAAAGTTTCTGGATAAAAACCAGTGACCTCAGCCTTTCACTAACTCTCATGTTGAAAATCCAACTTTGGCTGAAGCCCCTGAGTTTGACGTTTGGCAAAATTCCTCAAAAAAAACTCTTATTGGATGTATACTGGCGCTTGAGGGTTTTTCACCAGGTCCTGAAAACCCATGTGTAACGTTTTTGGAGTACATGCCAAAGCCATCTGTGGGCTAAAACCAGGCGCTCCAGCCCTAGGTTTTTAGCCCTTGTGCCCCAACCCCTATGTTGTTGGATGAAAACTATGGATCTGAGGTCAGCATAGAAATATATGGAATCGAGTAGAGCTGTGGCTGAAAAGTGTGGAACCAAGGTAACATGAACACATGCGCAACTGCATCCTGAAACTCTATTTCTCAGAAATGATGCTATCTGGGGCTTGGCTGAAAACCATGGGTACAAGTGTCAGGTAACAGTTGCAGCTGGCTAAATTTTTGAGGTAGAGCTCCCCCCTTTTCAGCCAGGACCACCAGACGGGGATCTCTTAGGCCATATATCACCTGCAGCGCTTTGTCCATCAAAGACTTCTCGCAATACGGACAAAAATGTTCAGGCATCTTCACTGCGAAGCCCACCGGACTAGATCAGCCGTTGAGGTTCAGCATGAGGGCAATATCACTCGCAGCGCTTCATCCATCAGAAGCTTCACACAAATCCGACAAGAATCTTCAAGCATCTTCAATGCGAAGCCCACCGGACCAGCTCCGCCGCTGACGTTCAGCTTGGCTCTTCCCCCTCAGGCAATATCACCCGCAGCGCTTCATCATGCTTCATCCATCAGAAGCTTCACCCAAATCCGACAAGAATGTTCAAGCATCAATGCGAAGCCTAGCGGATTCGTGCATGGCTCTTCCCCTCAGGCCATATCACCCGCAGCGCTTCATCCATCAGAAGCTTCACCCAAATCTGACAAAAATGCGCAAGCCTTTTCAAAGCGAAGCCCACCGGACCAGATCGCTCGTTGAGGTTCAGAATGGCTCTTTCCCTCAGGCCATATCACTCGCAGCGCTTCATCCTTCAGGAGCACCATGCAAATCCGACAAGAATGTTCAAGCATCTTCAATGCGAAGCCCACCGGACCAGATCAGCCGTAGAGGTTCAGCATGGCTCTTCCCCTCAGGCCATATCACCTGCAGCGCTTCCTCCATCAGAAGCTTCACCCAAATCCGATAAGAATGTTCAAGTATCAATGCGAAGCCCACCGGACCAGATCAGCCGCTGACGTTCAGCATGGCTCTTCCCCCTCAGGCCATATCACCCGCAGCGCTTCATCCATCAGAAGCTTCACCCAAATCCGACAAGAATCTTCAAGCTTCTTCAATGCGAAGCCCACCGGACCAGATCGGCCGTTGAGGTTCAGCATGGCTCTTCCCCTCAGGCCATACCACCTGCAGCGCTTCATCCTTCAGGAGCAACACGCAAATCCGACAAGAATGTTCAAGCATCTTCAATGCGAAGCCCACCGGACCAGCTCCGCCGTTGAGGTTCAGCATGGCTCTTCCCCTCAAGCCATATCACCTGCAGCGCTTCATCCATCAGAAGCTTCACCCAAATCCGACAAGAATGTTCAAGCATCAATGCGAAGCCCACCGGACCAGATCAGCTGTTGAGGTTCAGCATGGCTCTTCCCCCTCAGGCCATATCACCTGCAGCGCTTCATCCATCAGAAGCTTCACCCAAATCCGACAAGAATGTTCAAGCATCTTCAATGCGAAGCCCACCGGACCAGATCAGCCGTTGAGGTTCAGCATGGCTCTTCCCCCTCAGGCCATATCACCCGCAGCGCTTCATCCATCAGAAGCTTCACCCAAATCCGACAAGAATGTTCAAGCATCAATGCGAAGCCCACCGGACCAGATCAGCCGCTGACGTTCAGCATGGCTCTTCCCCCTCAGGCCATATCACCCGCAGCGCTTCATCCATCAGAAGCTTCACCCAAATCCGACAAGAATCTTCAAGCATCTTCAATGCGAAGCCCACCAGACCAGCTCCGCCGCTGACGTTCAGCTTGGCTCTTCCCCCTCAGGCCATATCACCCGCAGCGCTTCATCCATCAGAAGCTTCACCCAAATCCGACAAGAATGTTCAAGCATCTTCAATGCGAAGCCCACCGGACCAGATCAGCCGTTGAGGTTCGGCATGGCTCTTCCCCTCAGGCCATATCACCCGCAGCGCTTCATCCATCAGAAGCTTCACCCAAATCCGACAAGACTCTTCGAGCAGCAGCATCTTCAATGCGAAGCCCACCGGACCAGATCAGCCGCTGACGTTCAGCATGGCTCTTCCCGTCAGGCCATATCACCCGCAGCGCTTCATCCATCAGAAGCTTCACCCAAATCCGACAAGAATGTTCAAGCATCAATGCGAAGCCCACCGGACCAGATCAGCCGTTGACGTTCAGAATGGCTCTTCCCCCTCAGGCCATATCACCCGCAGGGCTTCATCCATCAGAAGCTTCACCCAAATCCGACAAGAATCTTCAAGCATCAATGCGAAGCCCACCGGACCAGCTCCGCCGCTGACGTTCAGCTTGGCTCTTCCCCCTCAGGCCATATCACCCGCAGCGCTTCATCCATCAGAAGCTTCACCCAAATCCGACAAGAATGTTCAAGCATCAATGCGAAGCCCACCGGACCAGATCAGCCGTTGAGGTTCAGCATGGCTCTTCCCCCTCAGGCCATGTCACCCGCAGCGCTTCATCCATCAGAAGCTTCACCCAAATCCGACAAGAATCTTCAAGCATCTTCAATGCGAAGCCCACCGGACCAGATCAGCCGCTGACGTTCAGCATGGCTCTTCCCCTCAGGCCATACCACCCGCAGCGCTTCATCCATCAGAAGCTTCACCCCAATCCGACAAGAATGTTCAAGCATCTTCAATGCGAAGCCCACCGGACCAGATCAGCTGTTGAGGTTCAGCATGGCTCTTCCCCTCAGGCCATATCACCCGCAGCGCTTCATCCATCAGAAGCTTCACCCAAATCCGACAAGAATCTTCGAGCAGCAGCATCTTCAATGCGAAGCCCACCGGACCAGATCAGCCGCTGACGTTCAGCATGGCTCTTCCCCTCAGGCCATATCACCCGCAGCGCTTCATCCATCAGAAGCTTCACCCAAATCCGACAAGAATCTTCAAGCAGCAGCATCTTCAATGCGAAGCCCACCGGACCAGATCAGCCGCTGACGTTCAGCATGGCTCTTCCCCCTCAGGCCATATCACCCGCAGCGCTTCATCCATCAGAAGCTTCACCCAAATCCGACAAGAATCTTCAAGCATCAATGCGAAGCCCACTGGACCAGATCAGCCGCTGACGTTCAGCTTGGCTCTTCCCCTCAGGCCATATCACCCGCAGCGCTTCATCCATCAGAAGCTTCACCCAAATCCGACAAGAATGTTCAAGCATCTTCAATGCGAAGCCCACCGGACCAGATCAGCCGCTGACGTTCAGCATGGCTCTTCCCCTCAGGCCATATCACCCGCAGCGCTTCATCCATCAGAAGCTTCACCCAAATCCGACAAGAATCTTCAAGCATCAATGCGAAGCCCACTGGACCAGATCAGCCGCTGACGTTCAGCATGGCTCTTCCCCTCAGGCCATATCACCCGCAGCGCTTCATCCATCAGAAGCTTCACCCAAATCCGACAAGAATGTTCAGGCATCAATGCGAAGCCCACCGGACCAGATCAGCCGCTGACGTTCAGCATGGCTCTTCCCCCTCAGGCCATATCACCCGCAGCGCTTCATCCATCAGAAGCTTCACCCAAATCCGACAAGAATGTTCAAGCATCTTCAATGCGAAGCCCACCGGACCAGATCAGCCGTTGAGGTTCAGCATGGCTCTTCCCCCTCAGGCCATATCACCCGCAGCGCTTCATCCATCAGAAGCTTCACCCAAATCCGACAAGAATCTTCAAGCATCAATGCGAAGCCCACCGGACCAGCTCCGCCGCTGACGTTCAGCTTGGTTCATCTCATACCAAAAATGTTCTTGCCCAGCCCCACGGTTTGCCCGTCAGGGGGTGGACCAGGGGGGAATCGAAGCCCTACCGTCACTGAATTGCCGCTCTATGGTCGGCAGATTTCCCACTTAATCAAATTGAAAACCGACCTCTGAGCGGCAATTGCCACAGCTACCCCCCCAGACCCCCTAATACTCACTACGTTCGCAAACAACAACTCAGCCTTGCCTGTCGGCTGGCTTTCATATAGATATTAAAATCACATGACATGACACTTGGGAAGGACGATAGACAAGCGACCGGCCTCTCCTCAGCAACCTCGACCTGGCGCAACCGTTACCCTCCCAAATTCGAGGGAAATCGATGGAACATTATGGAACTTCTGAAATTATATTTTTGTTATTTTTTGTTTCAGATTCTGGAGAACTGGAGAACTCCCAGTTTTTTTAAAATCATTATAACCTGGGTGTTGGATTGCGCCTGATTGCACCAAACTTCCTGTCAACATTGTGAGACCACAAGAGGTCAGGAGAGACGGCAATAGACCTACTTACGGACCGTTGGGCTTCAAAAAATATGAGCAAACTGGGAGAAGTTGAGTGTACATGGGAGAAGTTCTTATCTTGGAGATACCAATTTCAACTCAGCAACCTCCTTCAACGTACCTCCAACATAATTTCATTATATTTCATTTTGGTTTGGCAAAACCATCTTTCAACAAGCAAGTGGGTTGGTGAAACATTCCAATCAACTACTGAGATATATTGAGATTATGCACATATAATCACATATAATATAATATAATATAATAAAAAATATATATATAATTATATATACGTATATATACATAATATATATATATATATACATATAATATATATATATAATATATATAATATATATATATATACATAATATATATAATATATATATATTATTTAATATGCACATTGGATTCGCTCAACAAGCCATTCGTTGAGCCATCAACGACCAACGCTCCAGGATCTGTGACTCCCGTGCCTCGTCTGCAAGGTGCGACAGGGATCCGGCCTCCTTCCACGACTGCGGGGAAGGTGCCCAGATATTCAAAATATGGTAAGGGAGCAGAAAAAGAACCGACCATTTGGGAATTCTAAACTTGTGAGCCTTGCTTCTCATAAACCATCAGATCGCGAGTTTCAAGTCCGCTGGCGAGGCTGTATTGTCTTGAGATATGTCTTGTCTACATGCTCATCACGCACCCCTTTTTGGCAGAATTTGAGGAAGATTGTGGTTAGTTAATGAATCGGAATTGAACATATGATCTCAAGTTGGAATCGAATGTGACGAACTCAAGTCTCTTGAAATGGGCAAGTGCAGGCAATCTGCCACTTTTCTTCTTGGGCGTGCCAGCGAACCTTGTCATTGTCGGAAACACTGAGGTGCATGTTCCAAAACAGGCAAGCTATTACTCGCCTGAGCGGTGTGTAAGGGGTATCAAAACAAAGAACAATGCGACTCTGGCGTAGTAGCAACAAAAAATAACAACTGCTGAACCCCTTCAAGTACTTCCGGCATCTTCCGGTTCAGGCTGGTACTGGTCTGCTTGCCCTTGAAAGTTGCACTCACACCACCTTTGTGTGGAGCGGGAAGCTTCCAGATGAGCCTTGCACAAAATCCTAACCAAAGTTGGCGCTATTTCACGTCATGTTGGTCTATGAATGAAAGCTGTTTGGACTGAGAAATCTGAAAGTCATGGAGCTTTTGTTGCATGGAATATGCTACAAATCCCAGAAAGCGAGTAACAGTAAGTTGAAACAAAAAGTGGCCACTAGTTCACTAGTCCAAAAACAGCTTTACGGTCCTTCACTGGCAAGAGGCCAGGATACTCCACCAATCTTTACACACATTCGACATTCTATTATGTATATGTAATTATTTGTTTTCTGTAATTTTTGGTATTATTCCATATATTGTTTCTGTAATTGTGAAGCAGTATGTAGTATTGTTCATGTATTGTTCGATATCTTCTTCAACTCCTTGGACTCCTTTCAGTGCAACGGCACAGAAGTCGGCCGGAATCAAATTCTCTTGTTGGGGTCACGTGGGAAGTGCGGAAATCCAGGCACCCGGCCAGGGATCCTTCCCTGGATGCGTGGGTGTTCCAGGTCATATGCACCAGGTCCTGGATTCTGATTCAGCACTGCCCACTCTCCACGACTTCTTGGCTTCCACTCTGGGATCTGCGGGATCTGTGGATAGCCCTTCCACCAAGGACCTCCCAAAGTGGACGTTGCTTGTCCTTTCACTGACCTGGGCCTTGGGATGGTTGGCTTTGGCCGATTCGCTCGAGGTTGCATCCACCGCCTGGGTGTCTGAGCAGACTGGGACCTCCGCAACCGAGGTGGCGACCTTCGCCGGAAGTGAGGCCATGGAAGCTCCCAAGCTGCAGGATGCAGTGGCTGCGGGTGGGGTAGCTGGGGAGGCTGGGGTGGGGCCGGCCATCTGCCAATGTCAACTTCAACTTCCAGTGACCTCTGCGATATCGGAAGTCTCAGTCCGGCCAGGTTTTCCGTGGGACACTTTGGTCCCTCAATTCCATCGAGCAATAGCTGCAAATCCAACGGCTGGAAGGACTGGATGCATGTTTGGACACTTTGGACACGTGGTTCCATACCCATATGCGTCCCATGTTCATTACCAGGTAGGACCACTGCAACTTCAACTCCCTCAATTCGGTCTGGGGCCTTCCGAATGGGTGGGCCAAAAAGTGGCGCTGGCTGTCCTAGAGGAGGCTGAGGCGCTGGGGCTCCAACTGGTCCAAGTCGTGCTGGCCCTGTCTTCGCTGCTGGAAGTTGCGGGGCTTGCGCTGTCTTACTGGGCACCTTGGGTTTACGGCTCTTGGCTCCAGGTAGGCCAGTGGTTGATGATGCCCTGTCACCTTGGCTTGGAGGTGAGACGGGCATCTCAATAACAACATCAATGAGCTCGGCGCGCTCTGGGCTGGCTTCAGCTGCTTTAGTGCCTACTTCCACTTCAATATTTCTGCAGCTTGGTCTTCCAGCGCTCTCTGGCGCAATTTCAAAATCGATGCAGTTTGGTCGTCCAGAGCTTTCTGGGGCAGGCGGTTGAGGGTCTGGAATGTCTAGCCTGCCTGAAACCATAGGTCTTCTCGGATGCTGACCCATGGCATGCTCCGCTGAGTTTGGTAGTTCTGGTGCTTTTTCTGTTCTGCCGGGTTCCTTGGGTTTGCATAGGTCTATCTTCGTTGAGACAGCTTGCAGCGAATGAGGTGGCTGAGTTGGAGGCAGAAAGATGTCAACATGGACCTGCTCCGGCATCAATGGAGTTGGCTCATCTGGTGCAATGTTCACTGTGCAGTTGCACGGCTCCAAGCCAGGCTGGTATGCAAACCGTGGAACCACATCAGGCAGACTGTGTGGGCTGTGCAAGGGAAAGGCTGAAGTTCGAGATTGCTCAGGTTTGGGCAGTGGTTGCTGGGGGCTAGGCGGTGGAACAAGCACTTGCATGTTGACTCGAAGTTGCGGGGATCTTGGGGATGGTGGTGGTGGCTCATGTGGTGGCAGCGGTGGTGGCGAAGGTGGTGAGACTGGAGCAACTGCCTCTCGGCTCTTCTGCCTCTTCCGGTACCAGTAAAAAGTAACAAGGCACAACGCAACTCCGAGGACACTCAATGCTAGGATCAAAGCAAGGACATCTGATGGCAACCCTTCACCAATGGTCTCTAGGCTTGGCAGAATTGTGCTGGTAGTGCTGCTGGTCGTTGTGGAGGTGGTTTGGGTGGAAGTTGTGGAGGTTTGTGTTTCGGTGCTTGTGCTGGTGATGACTGGCACCTCAAACCTCCACAAATCCCGATGGAGACCTTGGTCATAGCCACCATGGACAAGGATTGTCAAGCTTGTCCCATCCCAAGCAGCCGCGTGATCATAGCGAGCAGGTGGACCAGTATCTGCCACAAAGTTCCATGTGTAGGTCAAAGGCTCAAATCTCCACATATCCTGACAAGCCATCCCATCAAATCCTCCATGAATCCAGAGTGCTTGGTTCAGTGTGTCCCAAACTGCTACATGATGGGCTCGTGCTGTCGGACCGAGAGTGGAAATCAGATTCCAAGCATAGGTTTGGGTGTCAAACTTCCAGAGATCTCCAAGCAAGCCTCACTTGGATTCACTTGACACATCTTTGAACTGATCAACAGCCAGCAGGAGTTTGTCAATATGAACATTCAGTGTACTTAGTGTACAGTGTACTTACTGAGATACTCATCAATCAATCATTTTTTCTTGAAAGAAACACTCATATTTCTTCCACAAATTGCTCTGAAAATCTATTAGTATAATTTTGCAACAGGATACTATAGTTTCAGAAAAACTCTTGCAGGGGATAGAAAAATCATACTAAGGATCATTGCAACCAGAACAACTTACAAGGACCTTGAGATTGATACCCTCGTGCCCTTTCTATCCTTCTCCTCTCTCCTGCAAACCTTTTACTTGGCAACTACGCAAGCACAAAGCCTCACATCAATTTTTTGGCCTGAATGGTGCCAAGATAGTTAAGCTGCACTCTAGACCAAAACCTCTGCGAAAGCAATACTCACCGAGACAGCTTTTGAACTCTGCACAAAATGTGTGGCTACTGCCCTGCCAAAAATAAGGGCTTCAAGCTAAACCCAATAGTCGAACCAGTAACCAGTGGATTTTAAAAACCAATTGCCGTTGCCACAATCATGTTGAAGGTCTAAGAAAACTCTGATTGTCAATAGATGAATGGACGAGACATGCAAATCTCAAAACTGACGCTCAAGCTGATTATTGGCGAAGCGCCTCCATCATATCCACCATGAATCCAAATCACTCCGTTCATGGCATCGAGTGCAGCAACATGATGAGCACGTGCAGAGGGCCCGTCGTTCCCATCGATGCTGAACCAAGTGCTGCCCTCTGCTTCGAACTTCCAAATGTCTTGTCTGAGGACACCATCGAATCCGCCATGAATCCAAAGGGCTCCATTGAGGGAATCCCATACCCCAACATGGCTACTGCGACTAGGCACGGATCCATTTGATACCAGGGTCCATCTGTTCGTGGACAGTTTCCACAGATCGCTGAGAAAAGCAGTGTCGTCTTGTCCACCGTGAATCCACAAATCACCGTTGCCATCTGTCACTGCCACATGCTCTTTACGTGCAGAGGGCGCTGTGCTGAAGAGTGGAACTGGTGTCCAAGTGTTCAACAGCTGGTTGTAGGCCCATAGATCTTGCAGAAGCTCCTCTCCTTTTCCCGCATGGACCCACAAGACTTGGTTCAAATCTGAAGCCGCAGCATGGGTAGAGCGTGCAGAAGGGCCATCAGCCAACAGGCTCCAGCTTGCCCATGCCAATGGAAACTGCAGAAACTGTATCAGGCGAAGGAAACATCTCTTTGTGCAGCTCAGCTGCATGATCTGCTCCACCCGAAACAACGAAGGAGTTCCATATCACCAAACCGGAAAGTTGCCCATGGAGTTTGAACAGTGAAACGGCTTCCAAAACATCTTGGGTTGAACAATGTTGAACATCTTCAGAGAGTGGACAACAGTGTGTACACTGTGAGAAAATGCGAGTCATGGAAGTGCCTACAGCCATGCGCCTCCCATATATAGAATTCTGATGAATTCTGTTCTGATTTCTGGTCTGATGCCGAAGCCCTGGCACCAAACATTGCTGAGTTCCAAACCTTAGACATCGCAGTGTCATGCATCTGACCAGCGATCCCGGGGGCACAGCCCACCTGCATCAGCACGCAGCATCCAAACAACTCTTTTCCATTCTTTTCCCACGTGCTTCACATGGAAATGACTTTATCATACTTTATCAATTTGATATAATTTTACACAATTTGACCACTTTTTGACTTTGCTCCCAAATACATCCATGGCTTGTGAAAGCCTGAGAATCAGCTGCGACAAAATGTTACAGTATACAGTATACTTATGTATACTTGGTTTCTCTATCAAGAAACCGTTTCTGCCTAATGTTCCAGATCGACTTCTTAGCTCAGGTTCAACCTTGGACAACTAGCTCATACTAGCTCCACGGCCTCTGTTTGTAGTTCTCTATGTCTCTGTCTCAAAGTGGGGTGAACAAATAACCTTCTTGGGCTTTGAATCTTTGAATGATTTTGACGTCATCTTATGTCATCTTGCTCTGCCTTTCTCAACTCATGATCCCGGTATAATATATTTAATTATTGTTGAGCGAGAAAGCATGAGCTCAAGAGACATCGCAAAATGCATGTTGTCTAAGTTGATATCTCTTTGCATGACGTGTCCACAATCTGTTTGTGAAGAATTTGTGCAAGTGAACTCAGTGAACTCGTTCTCCTCCATGCACCAGTGGACCAGGCATCCCCGCCACGCTTTCCAGCCTTTGGGTCGTGCTTCGATCTGGCAAACGCCTCGATCTTAGCTGACTGTGGCGATGTGGCTCCGATGTTCACTGAATCAAGGCTTGGCTGAATCAACATAAGTTAGTCGTATTTTAAGCCTATTTTAAGCAGTATGTTCATGTACTTTCTACAATAGTGTTATGATGCTTTGCGATGTTTTATGATGTTTTATGATGTTTTATGCTTATTTGCTAAATGACAATGATTGACAGTTCATGTGTGGGTACACCACACACATGCATTGGACATATTTCGGAGGATTCAACACAACAGATTGTCTCCACCGTAAACAACTTGACATTGTGCCTGTGCCTCATCAACTTCTTGCTGATGCTCTGATGGAGAAAAATGCAAGAAAGTATGTATATTATATATAAATCAAAAGTAGGTCGGGGCAGGCGTATCCTCTGCGCTTTGTTAAGCGCATGTGACGCTCCCATGATTTTCCACCTTTGAAAAAAATCACCCTTGTGAAGAAACACCCAGCGGAAAATCAGCTCATCTGCGTCCTTCTCCTTCTTTGAAACACACTATAGATCAGCGCTGACTGAAGCTTCTGAATTGTCCTCTTGGACTCGGTGTTGAGTGTTGAGTGGACCATGTTGAACCACTACAGTACCTAATGCATCCTAATACTACCTAGGCATTTCTATTTGTTGAATGGGAGTAGGCAAGTTCGCACATCCTGACGCTGTCTCTGTTGTGGGGAGAATAATATGCTGGTTCCAACGCAAATCCGTCTTCTCGATGCTCTCTGTCCCCATCGCAGCTCTTCCGTGATCATTTTGAGATATCGGAGCCACTTCCCACATTTCTGCCCGGTGAGCTCAGTTTTCCAATGTCGCCATTACGTGCCTACTATCGGAAGTGACCTTCTCTGAAGGATGCCGACACTAGCCATGTAGCCAGCCGCCCAAGGAGCCCTTTAGGCCCCAGGATGTTGAAGCCAACAGCTTCAGCCTGTGCCCTGTGCGTCATGTCATTCTCTGATCGAGGATTGCTGTACAGCTTGAGATACCCAGTGCTTTCCAGCGACAACACGGTGTCGGTGTGTTCTCTGGGGATAAACACTGCTCTGAGAAGCACTGCTCTCAAGCACAAAACGACTGGAAAAATGCGCTCCAGGGGTCTGACACATTCTCAATGAATGTAATTAGTACATGAATGTTGCCGGATTGTGAGGCAACAAATCGAAATCAAAGGGACACTCTGCGCAGCCATCTATCCCAGAACACACTCCATACAGAAGACTAAGTCATATAAGTAATATATATAAGTCATATGTATGCTATTGATTCATTAATTTTGCCTTCTGGCGTGTGTCCCCCGACTGCAGCATCTTTGTTTGACAAAGGTCCTTCTTCGAGTGCCCCCAACTTTTGTTAGCTGGAGCTTCTTTGGCCCAGAAGAATGATTGAGTTAACGGCTAGTGCGATCTTCCGTGAACTCCTGCATGTTTTGGAGAATAATGGCCTGGTCCTGGCGTCCCTTCTTGCTCTGCGCGTCCGGTCCTGCCTTTCTTCCAACTATGACTTGGACCTCCCGAAGTCGAATCCAACACTCCTGACTTATCTTGAGTTTTTTTAGAGGAAGCACTCCGCGTCTTTGAACTCTCGGTCTCTTTTGTCGCATCTCTTGTTGCAAATCTTACACCTCTGTGAGCCTTTGCTTTGGGCGCTTTGGGCATTGCTTTGGGCGCTGGAGTCTTTTGACGCTCCTTTCCCCCCAAATCTTCTTTTGATTCCTCGGGCTCCTTGCAGTGAGTTGCTGGTGTCGTTAGCCCAGGCTCTGTTTCGGGTCTCTTTGGACCATGAGGGTTACCATTGATTGGCCACTCAGGAGTCTCCGGCTTTCGCAGTTGAACAGATGTGCACCAGGAAGGCTCTTTCATGTGGCTTCGCCATATCATAGGCCCCGGCTGCACAATGATGTTGATTGGAATGTTGGTGGCTGGGTCAAGGTCAGCTGCATCACCTGCAGATGGCTGCTTTGGTTTCAGTTTTGGTATCGAAAGTGGAAGCAGATCAGTGGCTCTTAATGGCCGAGGCCTTGCTCCAGAGACTGGACATGAAGGGCGGGGCTCAGCTGGTGGTAAATGTGGAGCTGACTTCCTGCACCATCTTTGCAACATCTCGGGAGGTTTGGGTAAAAACTCTAAGGTCTGCATGGCTCGCATGGCTCTTTCTGTGCCTACTGGCTTTTGTTGTGGCAAAATCAAGCGCAATTGTGGCTGCCACAAGGCTGGTCCGGGTGTATCCGAAGCAGCTGGTCTTTGTGAGAATGAATGCAGTTCTTGTGGCTGCATGGTGATGGGTCGATCAACTTCAATCGGCGGACATACTGACTGACATCGCAATGTATGCAACGAGGGCAGGCTCTCCAGGTCGCATGGCCCTTTACGATCTACCAAAGGTTGTGGGACTAACTCGCCGTGCAGAGTCTGGCACATGACTGGGATTCTTTGCTTCAAAGCTGTGCTACTTTGTGTTTGGAGTTCTTGCTGTTCTTGCTCTGCACTTCTAGTGTGGAGAGGTAGTTGTGGCTGTGGCATAGGTCCCAGTGCAAAACAGCTTCGGCCTTGGAGCACCGGAATGAAACGGCGTTCAACGGCGTGCAACCTCACAGGTCGGAAGTTTGGTCGTGGTTGGGTCATGTCAATGGGTTGCCCACCAACGCCTTGATGCCAATTTCGTTGGGAGCTCGAACTGCTCCTATGGGCAGAGCTGGAACCGAAACTAAACACATCGCTGGTGGTGCATGCAGTCGATCTTCTGGACACATCTGGAGCTGGATTTGGTGCCTTAGGCATAGCATCCAATGGTCCAGGCGGACTGTCCATTGGTTCCGGTCGAGGTGGAATCCATTGCAGCAATGGAGGTAGGTCTGGTAGATCTGGTAGATCTGGTGGAGGTGGATCTGCTGGTGGAGGCGGTGGTGGCCCTTCGGTCCTTGGCGTCTTTGGTGCTGTTCCCTTGCTTTCCGGTTCCACTTCGGGAACCACCACTCCGCTCCTTCTGGGCTTCGCACACAATAGTGGAGTACAAAGAAGTACCACGAGAACAACGATAATCAAAATTACCCATTCAGCTGTTAGCTGAAGCTGCATGATGATCTAAGTTGATCTAAGCTCCACCCTGGTGCCATGGCTACATGGAAACCTTTCTCGATTACACATTGAGCCGCTTTGGCATCCAAGTAACTGGCAATCTCATGCAATCTCAATCTGACGGCCATGAATGTCATGAATATGTGCAAACATGACTTGAGTGACTCATGCATGATTCATTGTTCTGTGCCCAATGAAGTGGCTGCTACCATGTGACAACCAAACTTGTTTTGGAGCTTTCGTGAAGAAAGCGTCTACCATGTGACAATCAATTGGCACTTCTTATCTTTTGCCGGGTGCAAGTACTAAGATCCAAGCCGCATTTGAGCTTTGACGTGTCAGACCTTGGCAACAGAGCTGAAAGTTCAAAAGAAAAGATCGAAATCCTGTCAATCAAAGGGAAGAACCACCTGCAACCAGTCGCCTCGGAAATGGAACACCTGTATCACCTGTAGCTAATTCATAAAGCCCATGTTGGAGCGTGGGTCGAGCAAATAGGTGCTGCAAATAGAGTACGCTCATCTAAGATTCACGAAACTTGCGATGCCAAGCAGGACCACAACAGAAGCACTGTCGAAAGCAAATTCTGCTTCCACCAAAGACGAACCTGTTGGACAGGCGCAGTGTACAATAGCAGCACTAGAAATAACATGTAAATGCAAATCAACAGCAAACTCTTGGTTGGAGTGACCATGAGTGAACAAAGTGATCCAGATCCAGTACCCTTGCGTTTCTTTTATTAGTTCATCTTGATCCGAACACGAAACAGATCGAAACATCATCTGAATCGACAGCCCGGATACAGCAGGACTTTTTGGGATCCCATTGGCTCCATCCGCGAGGCTTCGCCTGTCTTGAGGCGTCTTCACTACGGAAGGCCTTTCACTAAGCGTGGCTCACGGCTCGTCACAGCTTGGAAACTGTGGATATCACTGAAACATCCAAAACAACGTCAAATCATCATAAAGTTCATAAATCAATAATAATCAATACAACATAATTGATACACACGTATACAAATCATCCATGTAATTCCACGTAAGTTCCTTCTGCTGTTTCACAATCATAAACAACACTTCTGTGCAGACTCACACGTTGAATTTTATGGAATCCCAGTCTCCCTGGGCCTCTGTACCCAAACTGTCACTTGAGTAACAAAACTGCATGGGACATCCACTTGATGCCACATGCCGGTCTGTACAAAGAGTTGTACAAAGAGTCAAATAATTATGAAGACTCACACACATTTCCACAGGACCGTGGCACAGTTTGGCAGAGTTTGCCCATCTGCCAATTCTGCTTTTGGAGAAGAGCTGTTGAAATCATTTTAGACATATGATATAATTATACTTATACTTAAAATACAATTGTATGGCACATGCATGAAACCGATATCAAAGATGTCTGTCAAATCGGCCACCCCGTGCGCCCATCACCTTCGACAGATCTCCGTTTGGAGATTGCAAGCGGCAATTCAGCTTAAAATTGCAGGATCCTCATCCCTGATCATCCCTGTATTCCTACTGCAGCCTTCCAAAACACGCAGTTTGGGGCTTGCAAGACACATCAACACACCAAAATACACCTCACTGGGCGCATGTTGAGCCGCGGCAAAATGTCTGAGTCCTTTGGATTCAGCCTCGCAGCACGAAGGGTTGACCTGGCGGAGCCTGGATACAAATTTGACCATGACTCCCTGGAGCTGGTTGGAGATAAATATGGCCACAACTGGGAGGCGGTGGAGGTGGGGCTGGGGGTGGAGAGGGAGGTGCCTGCACGCACACATGCTGAACTGCATGAACGGCATGAAGTGCATGATGTTGGACGGCCGCATGCTGACATGGTGCAGCTAAATAGGCTTGGCCGACACACATCTGCACTGGTACCACGGCAGGCTTTGGCATCTCAACTGCTGCGACGTGGGTCGGCACAACCACCATTGCCTCTGCTTTGCAGGTCCAGAAGGCCAAAACAGCGGCGACGATGATGGCCAAAACGAGGACAACCCCGACAACGATCAGCGTGACAGTACAGGCTGGACAAATCTCCATGTTAGTGGCTTGCTAAAGGAGAGATTGCCGGAGACAGCCTGAGCGAACTAAACTTCTTTCCAACCTGTGTTTGCTCCGGGCCAAAAAAATGGCTAGCGGCTAGCGAAATGGGATCAGAATCATCAGAACAGGATGGAAAGGGTTCAAAATCATCTCAGAATCATCTCCTACTCAAGGATCATGGCTCTGAAACCACTGAAACTGAAACATTCAGCAGCCCAAAGGCATTTTGTGAGAAACTCTGTTTGATCGCAGCTGAAGAAACAATACATCATGGAAGTGTCCCCCCAGGACACTTGCCAACTTCACTTTGCCCTTCATCGCGTTGTGACAAGAACTGGGTATCCAAATCAAACCGTAGAGCCTTAGCCTCCGGAACCAACGAAGTTGATTTGATGTTAGCATGATTACTCACAACAGAGTGTGGTGGTCACTAGATGTCAAACACAGCCCGTACCCCCCATTAATGCTGGGCCCAGTGCCGTTTGCTGTGGGCACTGGCTCATGTATTTGCAGCAGGCCTGCCATCAATGGGAGAACAGTGTGACCTGCAACTGCCACACCTGAGAAGAACAGAAAGAAGTTCATCTCTGAAAGCTGTCCTGTGCTGGACATGGACCTGTTGCATTTTAGAGCTGCCGAAACGTCCCACGTCTTCATTTTCTCGCAAGGGATCGGCTCATCACCAGATCTCCTTTGGGGATGGAGATGGCAACCTTGCCAAAGGCCACCTTTGGCCCTGAGCCCAGGTCCAGCGGGGATCTCAACATTTTTGTAGAGAGATAATTCAGGGATAACAAGAATTTAACAAACAGATTCCAACAAGGCAATCAGTGATGCACTGATCAGGAATGGTGTTACATTACATCAGTTACATCGTTGTCAGATTTATATAGCATGCCGCCTCTGCTAGACATCTGGTTGAAGATCAAACAAAAAGATGCAAAAGCAAGACTTCGATCCAAGCACCTCGCACAAGTCTGCACTTGCCCGTAACAAACAACTATGAGCAATCTGAGGGAATAACTTTGAATCTTCCCTCAAGTCCGATTGCGAGAAATGAAGCGTACATTCTGTAAAAATGGCCATGAGTTTTTCGGATGTCCACAACATCTTTGCTGTTTTGAGTAGAAACAAGCTTCAAGTATGCACAACATTCATCTTTATATGGGAGCCATTACTGGGTCAAAGATCAGAAACCATGGTCATCTTTATTCAACAGCACATGTGAGTCAAGCCCGCTTCTGATCTCTTCGTTAAACATTTTTCTGCAGTGCAACGGCACTCCAAACAATCTAAACAACATTATCACACCCACTGGCGACAAAGTCCATGATTCCAGGAATCCGAATCAGAATTTCCTGTGTCCTGGACTCCATGGACGGTACGTTATCACGGTAGGCTTGTCATTGAGTCTCAGTATCCTGGGGCCCTTTGGGATCCGGCCTGTCAGAGCCAGGCACCCTCTGTCCGGCCTCGACCTTTGAGACTTCGACTGCTGTGCTCCGGCAGACTTTGGCCGGTCCGCATCAAGTGGAAGAACTCCAAGCCCCGGGAGCCCCGGGGTCCCGGGTGCCCCTGGAGCCCCGGCTGGTTGCACCGAGCAGCGTTGGGTTTGTCTGGGAAACCTGGGACACGGCCAGGTATTCTGCCACGGATGCCTGGGTGTTCTGGTGAATAATCACCTGGCCCTGGCGAGTCTTCGTTTCTGTCATTTCTTGGTCTTACTTTGTGTTCACCCTTCGATCCTTTTGTCCAAAAAGGACCTCCCAGAGTTGACGTCAAATATCCGGACGGGCTCGATACTGGACTCGATCTTGGGCTGGATCTTGGGCTTTCAGGCGGAACTTTGAGCGGAAGCTCAGGTGGTTCCGTTCGTGGATGTGGCGGGTATCTTGGCACTCTGGGTCTCAGAACTCTTGCCATTGGTTTCCTGAGTGCTTGTCGAGTACGTCTGTGCTGCAAAGCTGGTGCTTCTCTTGTGGGAAGTGGTCGCCGGGGCAGCACAGGATTCGGCCACCCAGTTTGAGGTAGCGAGATGTCTATTCTCCACACTGTGTACGCATCTGGATTGAAAGGTTCTGCTGTGCCACGAACAACTGGAGTTTGACGAAAGGCAATTTGCCTGCTTTGTTGATACAAGGCTGGAAGTTTGGATATCTTGTTAACCTGTGAGTTTTGGGTATGATTGATTGGACCTTGTGGACCAGAGACCCCTGGGATGGCTCTGACATCTGGTGGCCAAAGCATCTGAACTGCCAGAGTTGCTGGCGCTGGCCAAGCTGGAGCAGTCATCGTGCTTGGCGGTGCCAGTGACTGAGATGCAATCTGCCACAGGTCGGGCCCCTGCCTCGGCTCAACCTCTGCTCTTCCTATCTTTGGAGCATCTGGCTTGTAGTTTGGCAGGGGCAAAAGTGCCTTCTGAACACCTGTCCATTCAATTGCTGGAACCAAATCTGGCACCACAAATGACAAGGGTGGCTGTGTGTTGCTCCTGCGAATGATTCGATTTGGTCTGGGATTCTGAAGGCACAACTCTGCCTTGGTTTCCTCTCTGCATTGCCTTGGTTTGGAAGAAGTCTGTAGCTGCAAAAGCTCTACCAGCGGTAAAGCTGGCCCTGGCCCAGCCCGCCTGCATGGCTGAGGAAGCTCTATGGCAACTTCTACGCGTGGAAGGCCACATGGATTGCTTGCTTCTGCTGGTGTGTTCTGAAGTGTGCTGGGGGTGTAAAGGATTGGCGCGGTTTGTGTTTCTGCCGGTTGGAAGCGTGGCTGTTGTGAAGTGCAAAGCCTGTGCACACCGTCATCTGATTTCGTGCCCTGAAAGATTGGGAGAGCCGAGGCCACACCTGGAATTTGGGCTGTGATGGTCACCAGATCCGGAATGTTCAGTAGTGTGTCAGGTTGCCATGGTTGGTCTCGCAACAGCTTCCGATTGCACCCATCTGCACATGCCATGGGCTTTATGGGCCACGTTGTCTCTCTGGGTACAGAAGAACATGCGTAGTGGCCTGGTCCTGGCACATGCCTCCGGTGTTCAAGTGGCAAAGGTTGGCCAACTGGAATGGATAGCACTTCTGATGTGCCTGCACTCAAGTTCCTAGAGTTCCCAATGTTTGCCAAAGCTGGCCATCTCTCAGTGCCAATGCCAAAGCTCCCAATGCTCCACTCTGACCCGGGCAATTGTCGCCAGTGTCCTTGGCAGCGTGCCACATCTTGCAGTGACTCGTGTAGAGCTTGGCGAGGTGTGAGCTCCAGGGGCAAGATCTGCCCTGCTACAGTCTGCCTACACCGGCTACATCTTTGGGGAATCTGAATGCCAACCTCTGCGTATGGAGTGCCTCTGTCTGTTGGAGCTGTATCATGAAGTGTGCAGAGATTGAAGGGAGTCGTTTCAGTTCGGCTCGCAGCTGATTCGCAACGTGGCTCTTGTGATGCTCTTCCACAACGTCTGGCCTCCTCAAGGATTGGTACAGTCACAGAAATGCTCGGCATTGTGACCACGTCCTCCGGGTGCTCTACTTGCTCTTGTTTTTGCTCGCTTGGCTCTGACTGAATCAAGCCGATCAAGCTTCCAGAACTTGTGGGTGGTGGCAATGGAGGCGGACTCGGTGGCAAGACTGTCAGGTGTGGCTGACCCGTCAGCAAATCTGGCGCTACATTCGCTGTTGGAAATCGGGTGTATTCCAGTATCATCAGAGTCGCTGCTACCCCAAGCAACATGGACACCAGCACAATGAAAACGATTAACAGAATCAATGGCCACTCCATTTGCAAAACCCTTCTGACCATACGCCTTTCTGTGGAGCTCCGACATTTTGAGCCATCAATGCCTTTCAGATGGCCACAAAACTGTAGCATAATGCACAACCTTACCATGGTTCATAATCCAAGAAGCAGCCCTCATTTGACATAGATTGCAGGTAGCAGTTTGGAACTGATCCCACAGAAAGTCAACAAGCGATGGCAAAATATGGTAAAATATGTACTGGATATTCATTGCAGCCATATTGCTTGATTGCAGTCTGTCACTTGCTGTACCATGGTCTGTTGGGTTCTGGCCTTCCGATCTGCAAACCCTTCTCGAGCAGGAAATCAACTGTCGATGGTCTTACCTGAGGAATGGAGTGGCAGTTTCTGAAGATAGATGGCCACTGATAACGAATGTCATTCACAAACTACTTGTATTTTTGAACACTCCGAATCCGCCATGCTGCAAAACCCGTGGAGTTTGTTGAAAACAATGTATACAATATATTGTATATGTACAATTGCTGCTACATGTTCCCTGCATACAGCACAGAATCACGGCACGGAGCGCCATCTACTCCGGTTTCAGAGAGAAGTGATGCTTTGCGTGGACAATGACATCATGTCTATGCAGTCCTGGAAATCCCGCAAGGTTGTGTTTAGCCTGAGCAGATTTAGATCACTTTAAGTGGCCCAAATTGGTCCAATGTTCGACAGTGTTCGACATGGTTCGACCTCCTTTGAAGGTCGTCTTCACACTGCCTAGTCACAGTCCACCTCACAAGTCTCCTCTGGTGACAGTGGGCGGCACGAGGGCCTTCAGCCCTCAAAAAATGGGCATTGCACATTGCATGTCATGCCTCAATAAAAATCTAATGAACATCAAGATCATCAAATAAATGCAGCAATAAACTGCAATAAACTAAAAGAAGCAAAATGCCTCGATTTGTCTTCCCCAGCTAGATTATGTTCTCGAACTCCTCTTCCGGCTCCCGAGATGTCCAACTTCGTCTTGAAGCCAAGTTGTCAGGTGTCATGGGATTGTCAAGATCCTTGCGTGAAAGAGCTTGAAGCTAAGACGACTCATGGCCAACTGACCTTGTTCATGATTTTCACCATGTTCATCAAATGGTCCTCACATGCCCAATATCAGCTCCTTCCAAACGTCCACCATGGTCCTTCGCGAGGCCACAAGGGTGGCAACACTGGTCTGGGCTGCTTCACCCTCTTTGGTATTGTTGGTGCCCGTGGTTCCGGGGTGGCTGGAGTGTTGAGCTCTGACATGAGGCTCTCGGTGGGCCAAAGCATTGGTCGCAGCTTTGGTGGCCATTGAGGCAAGGCTGGCTGCAGCAAAGCTGGGATTTGCTCCAAATGTCTGGGAAAACTGCCAATATTTGGCTCAATAAAGATGACACGTTTAGGAACTCGATGAGTTTTCACTGGTTGCGGAACAAAGTCCAGTGGCTCTCCATGACCATCCAAAGAGATCTTGGCAAAGAAGATATTGCAGCTGTTTTCCATCTTTCGTTTGATTGGCTGCTTTGGAGATAAATCTATCAGTTGACTGTCATCTGATTCTGCAAGCAGTCTCGTTGTATCACTAGAAGCTACCTGAGGCCAAGCAGGGATTTCCTCTGTATCCTGTGGACACTTTGGATGCAGAATTGGTTCTGGTTCGCTTTCTTTCATCTCTTTCATCTCCCTCGGTCTTTTCGGACTCTGTAGGCTGCGGCTTTCAACAATCACCAAGGTCGACCTGGCCGGCTTTTTGGGAGCCAATGGATCCAATGGAGCCAGTGGAGCCGTGTTTTGGTTCAGCTTTGGCGAGCACAGCTGCAGTTGAGGCAAAGCTGATGGTATCCTCGGTGGCGCCTTGGGTCTGAAGATTTGCACGTGCTCCAAGAGTTTGGGCATTTTCGAGATCTGCAGACTGCACGCCAACGTGCTCAATGCGCTTATGGTGCTCTTCATCTCCGCCGGCACGTGACTGGTGTGGTCCGTGTGACCCCACCATCCATCCTGTTGGCATTTGTTCTGGTTTTCATCATGGCAGGTCTTGTAGAATCCCAGTGCTGAAATTCTTCGTGGCCAAGGCTGTACTTTGGTCTCTGGTGTAACATGAATGAGTAAAGGCGCTTGTGTGCGAAACCGCCAGACCAAAAACACGACAGAGGAAAGACCCGCAACAATCATGACTAAGATCACGAAAACCGTATAGACGCTTTCAAAGGATGCCATGACTTCTGAGCAAATCTTCTTTCTCTCAGTTGAAGTTGAAGCGTTCGGAGCTGTCCGAGTCAATCGAGCAGTTGAAGATGCTTCACGCACAGTCCGCACAGTGTCGAGTTTGCGAAGCAACCCTCCGCATTGTTCAACTTGTGGGGGATCAAATCTTAGCAGGCATGAATTGAGCCGATAATAAGTACCAGCACATGATCAGGACATATCAGGACAACATTGGAATCAACCGCGCAAAAGGAATCAACAAGATGCAAAACGCCTGTCTATCCTGTCTGGACATAGCCGGTTCAATTGGATCGCGAGTGCAATACTCAAAAATACTCCAGAGATCTCAAATTCTTCAGTAACACAAGTGAAAAAATGCAATGAGATCGAGAAAAGCAAGCAAATGAGGTATTGATAAGGCTCCCACATTTGCCCAGGCATTGCCAAACCATGAATTGCAGGAAAGGTCAAAATCGAACAAGTGAAGAGATAAATAGCACGTGCTAAAAAGCAACAACTACTTCTTCAACACAGCGGCTGTGGTGTTTGAACCATACAAATGCCGTGTCTTACTCCGTGCTTGATGCATTTCAAGTTTAATGTGACGATACAAAGTGGCCTTCTTCTGCAATGTACTTGAGCACTTCGAACAAGAAGGGCAGCTAGCGACAACGAGCCAATAATGCCATAGAATGCCACTAGTCTGTCCAAATCTGTCCAAGGTTCTGGTGCAGTTGGGAGCATGGAGGAGCGACCTGGTGGGTCCGTCCTTGCTTCTCCAAGGTGCATGCCTGGCTTACGGCTGTGCAATGCTTTGCATTCAACTCATTCATTGGTTGAAACCACAAGAAACCATGACCAGTTCCTTGCTCTCATCTCTCAACGCTCGCAGAGACATTCGGAGACTGGCTCCAAACTGTTCTCTTGATCGCTCCCAATACTTAATATTACCTAATGCATTTAGCTGTGTTCCCTGTAGCACCCGTGAAGCTTCTTTCAACCATGTCTCAATGTACCATATGTGCGATACGTGCCATATATATATAAATATCCATATATGTGCCATGTAGTCTGAAGCCACCAGCTGCGATTTTCAATGCCAACATGACAGCCGCACCAAAAGCAACGCCCCAGCGCCGACATCCAAGACCTGGTGTTTTTTGTTTATCCGTTGCTCTCAACAGGACATTCCATGCAAAAACAAACAAAGCAAACATACTATGTATTTATTTAATTATTTACATATATATATATTGTATATTAACGTTGATGTTGATGTTAATGTTAATTTAATGTTATGTTGTGTTGTATTGTGTTGTGTTATCTAATGTAGGGTGATGTAATGTAATGTAATTGTAATTGTAATGTAATGTAATGCAGTGTATGTGCATGTAATGTATGTGAATGTATGTGTGTATGTATGTATATGTCTGTATATGTCTGTATAAACATGTAGACATATGTAAAGATATGTATATATACATATGTATACACACTATATAATACATTATAATACCATACCATCTCAACTTATTCTGGTAACCTTGCACAATCTTGGGTTACCACGAATTCATGAGAATTCATGTCAAGTCGCGTACAAGAAAGGGTCCGACGTAAGTACCACCTTCCCTTCTCCAACCCAGGCCTCAAAGCGCGTTGCCGCGCTCTGACCATCAGCATTCACTGCACGACGAACTGGATCATCCCTAGGCCGGCATAGATAGCATATTTCGAACCAACATCGTCACATCGTGAACAAAATTCGGTACTATTAATTCCGTTCTGTGTAATTTGTGCAATTCATTGTAATTAATTCTGCACTTTGCTTGACTAATGAATTTCAATTGAATTTCCAAGATCAGCAGTCTTGAATGGGTAAGGAAAAAACAATCGAAATCTTCAGTGTGATCTTTGCTTTGCACAGACCTGGTCTAGACTTATTCAAAGGCCGTGACGACTCTGTGTCCCGGCCAATGGGTGCATCAACCACCTGCGCGAGGGTATGATGGAGCGCATGCCCTGAGTGAAACCGGCTACTATATATTTCTATATATTTACCTTAGTTGCACTTGTGCTCTGTCATCTGTGCTAATTTTGCCTTGCCTATAGAAGTGCGCTTACCGTCATTCTACCAAGAGAGCGAGTTGCGAAGCTGGGTTCCATGAATGTTGACTCACGGCTCATAGCTTGGAGACTACACGCAACAGATTCAAAATGCACTGCAATTCTTTTCCAAGCAAAGTCTGCCGCGAGGAGAATATGATCCTGTCAGTACAGGAGGATGCATTCTTTGCCGCAGAATCTCAGTGGGAAGATACGCAACCTATAAACTTCGAAGCAACATCTTCAACCAAGCATCACTCGGAAAGCGCGTGGATGGGAGCGCAGTTTCAGCGGCCACTACCTGAGTTGGATTGGGGGCTGTAAATCGTCTCAACTTCCTTTGGCAAGAGTTGCGAACCAAATCCTCCAAGAGTAGTCCGCAAACAACATTACGTGTATTCCACCCTCTCGTGCATGACTAATTACATATGATGAATGTATCATTTTCAGTGAGGTGTTACCATCATATATGGGTCTGTTTGATTTCCAAATACTTTTTAGTAGGGAAAATGATGATTAACATTGATAAACCATGATAAACAATCATAATCAATCATAAACCATGAGAAACCATCACAATTATTCAATTTTGACAACCACATTCTTGTTCTTTGATGTTCTTTGTCGCGTCCAGCCTCACGGCTGGGAATCGGTGCTTCCGAGACCTGCGCTAAACATCACATCACCGAAGGCTGGAAAGGTTTCTGATTTGAAATCGAATTCAAATCAACTTGAAATGGACATAAATTGACTCTGAAACTGAATCGACATTTCTTTTGTTGCCAAGTCTGTCTGCAGATCTTTCACCGGACAACTCACCTCTGTAGCTTTGACCTGCTCTTCTCATCACTATTCTGATGGCCGAACCTTCTCCAAGTGATTGGCAGAGAAGAAAATCCAATCCTCAATATTCTCAGGTTCTATAAGAAGGACATCGATGAACATGCGGTGTACTCAAATCCCTTCCACAAGAGAAAATATGCGCGGCACCAGAAGCCAAATTGTAGCTCCCTTGCTGCTTCTAGGAACTTTCAGACCGGACTGCATCTCTGACCATTCAGCACAAAGGAATGTTTGCTTACAGTCAACAGCCTGTCCCGATTCAAGCCAAGTTTGTCACCAGGCATGCTTCGTAGTTGCCTGCAATGTGGCCAATCCGTCGTGCTTATTCTTTTTAAGTAGAAAAACTAGATTCTAGATGATCTGACCGCAGTGTCAAATCAGACAGCCCCAAAGTAGTGGCAGCCATTAGCAACCTCAAACTTAGACTCCAGCCTACAAAGTTGGTGAACTCAGACTCGCAGGCGGAATTGAGCTTGAACGGGGAGTGAAGCTGCAAACCCAAGCCTTCCGGAAACAGAAGCCATGGATATGCAAGCATGAGCCCTTCTTGAACAGTGAATCCATGTGAATCCCAAACATCCTCACACTCGCTTCATTTTCATTTTCCATGTGTTGCCATGTCATGTTGATTGAAACATCTGAAGAAAGCCGATGGAGTTGCTGCTTGTGGTCGCTGCACTATCCAGAATCTATCGTGATGCTGCAACTGTTAGATGGACGATGGATCCAAATGATCCAACGCTGGAGAATCGGCTTGGCTCCTTTTGCCCAGCTTCAGTTCTTTGGTGTCGGTCCATTGGGTCCATTGAGATCGATTCTGCACCAACTGTGTTTCAGTGACACTAGGCACCTGCTAAAGCAGGCTGCAAATCGCTGTCCCCCAGCTGCTCTGCTAAAGCCTGAGTGCACAAGTTGAACTGTGTTTCCCATGCATTTTGAGCCCATGGTCTTGGCATGTCTTGGCGGTATCAAGAAAACACTGCCCATGGCTTGCGACAAATGGCTCGTTGCTTCTCTACCACGTCATTCATCTTCTGCTGGACCACCTCACGCGGCCAATGATTGGATCAAAGCGGACACAAACAAAGGAACTGCTGTTTGAAAACCACACAGCTCTTCACAAATTGCCTGGGCCAAGCGATCTGCTGCATCTTTGACCTAAAGGTGGATTCACTATGTCAAGCATATGGGGTACCATACACCATACGGAGACAATCATCTGGCAGTAATGATGGATTTGCCCATGTTGACCAAGTATGAATGCTGCATGATCACACCAAGGCAAACACAGCATCGAAACCAAGTTCTTCGACATCCAGTACCTGTACAGGCAAAGTAATTATCCCAGAGTCCAATGGTTTATCATCAGTGCTCCAGTGCTGCTTATATCTCTGATAGTATCATGTCCCACTAATATCCCCATGAGAACCTCATTCCTTTATTGCTTAGCTCCACCATTTCTTGGCGCAAACTCGCTATTATATCAATTCAAACAACAACTGATGCTAATATCCGAATATCCCAAAGAATTCAGTTCATATCCCCCTTCATCTCCCATAGTACCATAAATATTTCGACAATGGTTGGTAATATTGCATCATGGTTGGTAATCTCCCACAATGCTGGTAATCTCCCATTAAGGTTTGCTCATATCGTATCACAATATCCCAAATTCTTGTCCCGACGTTATGGACAAAATCCCATCAGAATCCTAATATTCCATCATGGCTGGTAGTATCTCACAATAATACAATACCCAACTAAAGTCCCATCAAAATGGGATTCTGGATCTTATGGCATAATCAAAAGATATCATTCCTATCATCAGAATGGATATTATCCACGGGTTCTATCCATGTAACCATCCTGACATTACCATGATGGGATAATAGAATATAATAGATCATGAATATTATATCATCAGAATAGATATTGTCCACATAACTTATAACCATTTATACCCTCTGGTAATTTAACATAGCTATTGAAAATGACCATAGAAATAGTGGAATTTTCCCATAACAAAAGTGGTGATTTTCCATAGTTATGTAAACGTTTACCAGAGACTCCCGTCCCGCTCCCACGGTGGCACGGGCTCCGTACTGAGCTGAAGGTCCAACGCCAGCTGTGCTGTGGCCACCGCTGCCTTGGCGGCTGCGACGCAGCTACGGTATCAATAAAGGTATACTTATTACGTGTATGTATATGTGTATATTATGTATGTTATGTATCTATTTGTTATATTCTATACTTATATATGTTATATATATATATGTTATATATGTTATATATGCATATATGTATACATAGATATACAGTATTATATTATGATGGTTATGTAAATATTATGTAAATGTAGATATAGTATACTATGCTCTTGCAAATTACGATTTTGGACTTGGCCAATCAAATCAAGGTCAGTCACGTTTTGGGGACAATCCATTTTGGTGTTCAATGGCTACCAGCCAGTTAATAACATTAATGCATTCAAGGTCTGAGTTTGTATTTATACCCCAAATTGCCTAATTGATCATCATATTCCCCATGAAATCCTAATTTTGCTTCACTGATTCATATCCCCAAGCAATCAACGGCCTTTCTGGGTGCCCCATGGACCCCATGGTATCCGACAAGCTGCACAGGTCTTGAAGGTTGCCCGGGCCTCGAGTTTCTGCTCAAGCGCAGACCTCGAAATCTGCCAGGATTCGACGTCGAATCGTGGAATTAAGACGATCTGCTATGTAGAGAATTATATGTATATATATATATATAGACATCATTTGGATTCATTTGGTAGTTTCTGGCCACCCGTGTGTGAATGAAACCTGAATGAAAACTGAATCTGTTGGCATTGCATGACCATGAGTGCCAGACCAGGGTGAAGTACCCAAACTTTCTCCCTCTTCCTGACATCTTGAAGGCAGAAAAAAGACTTGCTGTCCTGTCACGCAAAACAAAACCAACTCACGGCCAGAAGGCGAAATCATTTCAAACGCGAGCCTCATCGTAGTCATCAACTTCCTCGTCATCCTCAGGCAAAGGGCACAAGTATCCGAAGCATGCATGGACATAATATACAGTACAATATATATATATATATAATATATATATTAAATTATATAGTAATTCATAATATATATATATAATTATATAAGTATATTATATTAGTGTATATATATATATATATAAATAAAGGTTAGAATCATTCATATCACATGATACACATCTATGTCGTATGTGCCGAATATCCTCATCCTTCTTGCATTCAATCCCATCTTTACGTCGTACGCGTCCTCGTCTGACTCCTCCTCCTCCTCTGCAATGCCCAACTTTGCCATGCAAGCACCTGGGCCATTGATGGTCATCAAATGGGTTCAGGCTTTCAATGCCAGTCAGGGTTTCAATACCCCCAAACAAAGAAGAGGGAACGGCCAAAATGTCAGTGGACAGCCACAGTTTTAAAGGGAAAACATATTTCATATAATGGATGTAACATGATGTGACAAATGTGAAACCCAACATCTCTGGACAGTTTAGCAGTAATACATTTTGGGGGTGAGGCTACAATTGTCTCCATCTATAGATGCTGCAGCAATTAATTCGCCTGCATCTCTTCGTGAAAGTGCGGAGTGATCTTGCAAGTGTCACCATGATGTCACAATGATGTCAAAATGATGTCCCACGTCCAGTCCACACATGTTAAGAACGAAAAGTTCCTTTCCACTCGGAGGAAGACGAGAACGCTGCAGGCGCTCCATGCTGATGCGAAGGTCATCCATGCCATCAGCCTGTGACCAACCACGTGCTATGTGAGTTCCGATTGGTTCAACGCCTTTACAGGGACAAACTGCCCGAAAGTCTACAAGTCAAGGCTGCAAACTGCCCGAAATCCACGCTCAGGCTTATCTTCTCATCTATGTGTTGATTTTCTCAGATTTTGACCGATGTCAATGACAATACGATCATACGAACCGCCTGAATACTTGATATACTTGTAGTTTGAATTTAAATAGAATTAGTTTGATAAATCCATTATTAGTGGTGACGACATTTATCAACATTCATTATCATTCATTGAGCACTGGCATCGAGGCATCAGCGAGCCTCTCTCAAAGCGCGATATGCCTCTGGCCTGGCTAAGAACTGATGAGTCACTGATGTTCCCTTGGTATTACCTGATGTTGGGAGGCTGCGATGATGAAATGGCCACAATCATCACAATCAACCATAATCAACCTAATTCGCAGACGAATCAGGACACATACTAGTATTAACATGTATTAACGACTGTGCCTCTCGGAAATTGGATCCAGCAGGGGGACTGCAGCTGTCAAACTAAGAATTGACCATGATTTACCATCCAGACACATCCAAATCGCCAAAGTTTTGCCTGCGAAGGGGTTCTCCCGTTCTTTGTTGCCTTCATGTCGCGCTTTGTGCTTCGTTGGATCAGCGGACTGTACACATCTCCTTTGGCGATTCTGTGGTGATCCTCGTTGGACGGGCATTCATCGTGATTCCACAGCCCTGGAATCACCTCGGAAAAGCGAGTCTTGGACTCTTTCACCAAACTGATTCCTGAGGAATCGGACATGGTTCAATAAGAGTATAACAAAAAGATACAAAAAGAGAATAAGAGCAAAATATAGCAAAATAGCATAAGAGAGTGTAAGCGTAGAAGTGCGTGACTTGTAGTAATAGTACATGACTTGCTTTTTGAAGAAACAAAACAAATTTCAAAGGGCTGTTTGCAAATTTCAGAATGAGACTGTATGTTCCAAGGGAAGCCTTGTACAGGACTGAGGTCAGCTTTCCGTCCAACAAAAAGGGAAGATCACTTTGAATCTTCGAACAAATTTAAACGCAAACTTTGAATTACTGTGGGTTATCCACTCCTGACCTCCCTCAATGCAACGGCATCTGAGGTTAGCTCACAATCGAATGTTCTCATCACGGGGGATCTTCGGAAATCCAGGTACACGGCCAGGGATCCTTCCACGAATCGCGGGATGCTCTGGGTTGTAGTGGCCCGGTCCAGGTGTTGGTTCACGGCTCGAGGCACCATGCCCAGGTGACTTGGAACGTTCTCTGGACTTGGAACGCTCTCGTGACCCTTCTCTGACTTCCGGCACATCATCCATTGGCACATCCACACGTTCCATGTAGAAAGGAGCGTAATAGCGTTCCGGCGTGTCAGAAGTTTCCACCACGGGAGGTTTCTGGCCTTTCTTCCACCAGGGACCTCCCAAGGTCGAGGTCAAGTATCCGCTTTGACCACGGCGACGAGGGTGAGGCGACGGTTTTTTGATCCTTGGATTCTTTCTGTGTGGAAGAGAATCTGGTCTCCTCGTTCTGGCAGGGATCTGTGGCTGATGACCTCTTGGCCACTCTTGCTGCTGCGGTGTTGGGATTGGCAAGGGCGGCAAATGAATATGAAATTCAGGTGGTGGTAAAGGCGGTAAAGGGATAGGCACAGCTGGTGGTATCACCACGGTGACCTCCACTGGCTCTGGATGTTCCGGTGATCCTTCAGGTGGCGGATTAGTGCGGACGACTGGCCCTTGTGGCACAAGGTCGATGATCAATGGCAAAGGTGGTTTTCCAAATCGTTGCCGTGGATTTACAGCTGGTGCTCGGACTTCACCTGGCCACTGTGGGTCTCTAGGAAACCGTGGCCTCTGATGTGCTGGCACAAGTCTGAAACCACCACATGGCTCCACCTGTAGTCTGCCTGGTTGTGGTGCGCTGGGAACAAATGTCCCTATGCTTGGGCCGCTGGGGATCACAATGTGCACGTGAATGACTGGCTTGATGATGGGAACCAAATGTGGAACCACCAGCAAAAAAATAGGTGCAGTGCTGGGCGTGCCTCGGATTCTACCAGGTGGCGAAAAACTATACCAGTGCGGTTTGGGTGGCAAAGGATACCTGATTCGGTCATGGGGAACCGCTGGTGTGTTGAGGCCGTCCGCCGACTTAGTCGGTCTGGGCTGACAAGGTTTCAGTTTATCTTCTGGTGGGGCGACTGCAGGTATCTTTCCTGGGCCTGGAATCTCCACAAAAACAGTGACTGGTTGCGATCTGGGCAAAGGCATTGGTAACAGCCTGCATCGCCCTCCAGGCCGTCTTGCTGGAAGTCGCAGCAAATGGGGAAGCTTACTGGCCGACTGCACTATTCTTGGTGGGTTCCTCCGCTGCAAAGGATGCCAAGGACCAGAAGGTCTGTCCAACTTCTGTGTATTGAGTGGTGGAATTACTGGTGTTGTCGGCGGAGTTGCTGGTGGTGGCAATGGTGGCAATGGTGGACTAGAGCTAGGGTACACCACAGTGGTACAAGTGAAAGGTGGGGGTGGTGGCGGCCCTGGTGGTGGAATGACTACTGTTTTCTCCCATGATGGTGCCACTTCTGGTACAACAAACACCAAGCCAGATTTGAACTTGCAGTATCGAGTTGCCACTAATGTAGCTGTAATCCCAAGCAACAAAGTTGCCAAAATTATCACCAGCACGATTGTACATGTCACGAGCACAGCTGCCATTCACTTCAAGTGAGCATCAACTGCATCAACTGCACATGCGCTCCTCTGGCGAAACGATGGCCTCCGGATGTTCCCATCGGAACGCCTTTGAGCCGTGAAACGCCTTCGGGACAATTTCAATTAAAAGAATGTCGAATGTCTGTGTTTGCCAAAGGATGTGAACAGTTTGAGCACAACATTGATGATCAGGATCGCAAGTATATCAGTATATCACTGAAGTCACTAGACTTTTAGGCTTCTAAAACCATGACGTTTGAACCTTCCAGTCTTCAAGGCGGCCAGCATCTTTTTGGCAGCCTTGCGGGAGGAAGCATGGCCCCAACCTTGGAGACCAAAGAAGCAGGAAACCATTGGAAACCAATATAGAATGCAGCGTTGCACCAAACTTTGGTCATCACCTGCTTTCAAAATCTTTCAAACGGATTTTTTTTTCTTTTGGCCCCCAGGATCCTTTGAGAACTCTACGGAAGGAGGCGCATTTTGCCCAGTCTGGATGCGCAGCAGACACATAGCCTGTGAATTCGTGGCCAAGAGTCTGTCTTCCATTTTTGAGGTCGTGATGGTTTCATGTGGTTTGGGTCGGTTTGATCATATGAGTTATTACATAAGATATCATAAGATATCATAAGATATAAGGTATAAGATAGCAAAGAACGTGCGCACACAGCTTCCAAGCCAACCATAAAGAACTAGATCACAATGATGGTGCCGCCACTGCTGTCCCGTGGAAGAGTGTGACTTTGGTGATATAGTTGCCTTCTGGTGAGATATGGTGAGATCTAGAGCAGTAGCTGGTGGAAAATGGCCTTCTTGCAAAAGAGCAGTCGCTGCCGTGTCGGGCCTCAGGTCCCAGCACCCGTCAGCTGGGTCAGCTGAGTCGGTCACTGAGCTGCTGACTCGCTGTTCAGGTCACCAAGGAAAAGCAGGGCCGGTTGCTGACCAAACCTGCCAAGATCTGCCAAGAATATCCAAGATGGCTAAACGGCTAAACATGCCAAGAAAGAAGGAACACAGGACATAGCCCTGGAAAATGCGTGTTGTGGAACAATGCCTTGTCATCTCTATCCTTTGGGATCTTTGGGATGCTTCATGTCTGAGTCTTGACGGCATCTGCGAAGAGTACCAGCACATGATCATAATGTTACAGGATAGCAATGGATAGCATGCAAGGTATACAAGGCATGTCCAGGCATACAAGGTCGGGACTCTTCTTCTGCTCGTTTAGAGATGGCTTCTGCCTGACGACACTGCAATGCCAAACGGATGCCGAATTATGCCTTCTCAAAGGTCCAAAAATATTGCGCAACAGTTGCAGCCAAGGTGTTTTTGGTTGGAGGTTCCACAGGGAAACAAAAGGAACATGAGTACACCATGCGCTGCCCATGGCAAATAAAAGCCAAATTCATCAAAGTAGCCCCGCCTCTGCAAGGATGAGAGCCACCTGCAGCACCCTGATGTGCCTCGTTTTTCAAGCAAACAGGAAGCTGTTTAGAAATGTTTAGAAATGTTCAGAACAAGAAGTTGTTCTTACTTGTACTTTCATCAACAAACAGTAGGATTGAGTACAGCAAGCCGAAGGACCAGCAAGACCAAAACAAAGGGATAGCAAGAGAAAAAGAGAGAGAGAGAGAGAGCGAGCGCAAGATGGAAATTCAATCCGTGAAGAAAAAAGAAGTCACTGCACCGCGACGCGGCCTCGCATAGTTGGCAAAGTATAAGTGAGTGTTGCAAACCAAGATGAGACGCTCTCCATCCTGTCAGCACAAGGGTTAAAATTGCTGCATGCTGCAACTTGTCGACCGAAGCCCCGATAAGGTGCCTGACTGCGCAAGAGAGCCAATTGTGCCACAGTACCTAGCCTTGGTCGTGCAAAACCCATCCAAGGTTTTTCTACAGCCCTACATCATTGTTCCAGCTTATGCCAGTTTTCTCCATGCATGAATCTAGATTGAAACTGCAACATTTCTCATTTTTTCTAGTTCTCGTGGCCAGCAAGCATCACGGTGATCAAACAACATTGCCAGAATTTGCCAGAAATTAAAAGTCTATACCAGAACAAAACAGCACAAAGGAATCGGCGAACCTCTGAACCTGCATCCTCAGATCACGGCCTTGGGAATATATCCTCCAGTTCCTTAGACCCACAATGACCCACAGCCCTACTGGTAACATAAGCGGATAGGGATCCTGAGGCGATTGCTGGCAATCGCCCAAGCAAAGCACCCACAGCCGAATCAATCGAAGTCAGTCTGGCAACCTGGTGTCACATAACTATCATAACCATTCATAACCCAAAATGGCGCAAGACCTTCAAACCCAAAGATGTTCCAATCAAAGTTAGTGTTGTTTCGAAAACATATTACGCATCTGAAAAAACAATTTGGGACTTGACTTCGTCAGGCACTTGGACGACACCACTCCTGCTGGGCAAATCTGCTGGCAAGTATGGACAGAGAATCAAATGTCAAATGCAACTCCAATTCAGTGAATCGTTTCTTGTTGCGACGTGTCAGTTGCAAGTGTTCACCTGGTTCTCTCAAAACTTTGGATGTCAGTTCTCATGAGTCTCATCCGAATGCAACTGCTCGCTAAAGCTCAGCTGATGTTTCACCTCGAATCTGTTGAACCACAAGGAACCGTGTTAAAACATATTCAGCCGGGGTTCTCATTGCATCTCGTGTTCTCACCATGCTTATCCAATCTTCATCAATCTTCAATGTCTCCAACAGTCGTGCGCACCTTGGCAGTTGTGAGAGTGGAAGCTCCGTCAGCTCCAAAAGCCGGAAAGCCTCCCAGCAAATCTGCGCACATGGAAAACATGCATCCAGCGGACCGATATCGTGCGCGATACAGCACAATGGCGAAATCTGTGATTCCCGTCTTTGTCAACAGTAGGAACAAATTTGTAATGTAATATATTACAGTGTTACTGCATGTTACTGCTTATATTGTATGATCTCCCAACATTTCACCTCACTGATCAATTTAAGACTCTTGATGTCCAATCTTCCGCAGCTTGCTCTTTTTTGATCGAGGTCCATTCCTTTGTGAGATTCAGCGCAACGGCACTGAGGTGCCCAAACCGTTTCTTGAAAAACTTTGGGGCAAATCATACTCACATGATGTCAACAATATGTCAACAGGTCAACATTGGTCAACATTGGTCAACCATCAGGATGTCATCAGCCTCAATGCAACAGCATCTGATGTGAGCTCACAGGCTCACAGTCGAATGTTCTCATCACGGGGGATCTTCGAAATTCCAGGTACACGGCCAGGGATCCTTCCACGAATCGCGGGATGCTCTGGGTTGTAGTGGCCCGGTCCAGGTGTTGGTTCACGGCTCGAGGCATCATGCCCAGGTGACTTGGAACGTTCTCTGGACTTGGAACGCTCTCGTGACCCTTCTCTGACTTCCGGCACATCATCCATTGGCACATCCACACGTTCCATGTAGAAAGGAGCGTAATAGCGTTCCGGCGTGTCAGAAGTTTCCACCACGAGAGGTTTCTGGTCTTTCTTCCACCAAGGACCTCCCAAGGTTGAGGTCAAGTATCCGCTTTGACCACGGCGACGAGGGTGAGGCGACGGTTTTTTGATCCTTGGATTCTTTATATTCTTTCCGCGTTCACCAGGTCCTTTTGAGGGAATTTGAGGTGGATTAGCAGCTGGAAGTTGCCAAACGCCGGGCCCACTTGTCTCTGCTGGTACCCTTGGCTTCCCTTGAAATTGCTCAATCTTGAAACCATATGGCTCCACCTGAAGTCTGCCGGGTGCACAGAAACCCGTCGCAATTGAGACCACACGATGTACACAGCGGGTGAACTCGATGACAGTCACCAAATGCGGCACAACCAGCAAGAGAATCGGTGCCGTGTTGGGTGTGCCTCCAATCTTACCAGTTGGAGCAAAATTATACCAATGCGGTTTGCATGGCAACGTGACTTGTTGATGTGGAGCTGCTGGTGTGTTGAGGCCTTCCGCCGACTTGGTCGGTTTTGGCTGGCTGGGTTTTGGGTTTTTCGTTGGTGGAACTAGCTGTGTCAGAGGCATCCTGCTTGGCATCTTTACAAATTCAGGTTGCGTTCTGGGTAAAGGCGTTGGCATTCGTGCATGGGGTGTAACATTGCCAGACCGTCTTGGTGGAAGTCCCATCAAATTCGGAAGCCTTGTGAATCGCACTGTTCTGGGTGGGTTTCTGCGCTGCCATAGAGGCGAGGGGCCCACAGGTCTCTTGAGCTTCTGTGTACTTGTGGATCTTAAGGTAAAAGTACAAGCGACTGTGGGATTGGCAGCTGGCAGTTGCATACCATTGCCCCCCGCTGTCTTTCTTGGTAGCCTCACTTTCCCTTGCATTTGTAGGATCTTCAAACCACCACATGGCTCCACTCGAAGTCGACCTGGTTGTGGCGCACTGGGATCAAATGTCCCTATCAGAACAACAGGGGCATGACCCCTACGGTAGATCACCTGGACGATGGGAACCAAGCACGGCAATGGCATCAAGACAGACTCTTTGCTAGGCTTACCTCGGATTTTGCAAATCGGAGCAAAATTGTACCGATGCGGCTTGCATGGCAAAGGATACCTGATTGGGTCGCGGGGAACTGGTGGTGTGTCGAGGCCTTCTGCCGACTTGGTCGGTTTTGGCTGGCTGGGTTTCGCTTTTTTCGCTTGTGGAACAAGCTGTGTCAGAGGCATCCTGCTTGGCATCTCCACCAAAACACGGGGTGGCCGTTGTTTTAGCAAAGGCACTGGCAACAGTTTGCAAACCTCTCCACGCCGTCTTGGATGTCTTGGTGGAAGCGATAACAAATTTGGAACCTGACTCGTGATACTCGTGGACTGCACTTTTCTGGGTGGGTTCCTTCGCTGCAAACGAGGCCAGGGGCCAGAAGGTCTTCCAAGCCTTTGTGCATTGATGCATTGCATGGCCGACGGCAGTTGGGGACTAGGGCACACCACAGTGGTACAAATGCAGGGTGGTGGGGGTGGTGGCATTGGTGGCATTGGTGGTGGAACGACTAGTGTTTTCTCCCATGATGGTGTCACTTCTGGCACGACAAATACCAGGCCAGCTTTCGACTTGCAGTATCTAGTTGCTACTAATGTCACTGTAGACCCAAGCACCAAAGTCGCCAAAATGATCCCCAGCACGGCGATCCACGCGATCAACCCGGCGGGCATTCACTTCAAGTGAGCAACTTCCATCCATCCGCCAGCAAACTGGTGCAGCAGAAATCATTTGAGCTGTGAAACACTGTCAATAGATTTTCAATGGTGATCATCCTACTTGTCATCGTTTCAGGAAAGTGAGAACGTGCTTTATAGATCTTTATAGTACATGAATCGCACATAACTTTGCCAAAACACAACACCAAGGAATTGGAATGCTAGTTCCATCAATGGTGGCAACAATAACACATGGCACTTGTATGAGCATAGCATTGAGAAAGAACTGCTGTGAGACTTTTGAGCAGGCCTTGCTCTTATACAGCAGCAAGCAACCTTCCGCAGAGTCAGATGCCTGTGATGCCGTTACAAGTTGCATCTAGGTGTTCCCCACATTTCCTCACAACACTGCCTGCTACCACTCACAAATTGTGCCTTCTGTGTAAAGCAGGAGGAATATCCATCCATCTCAAACTGGGGCTGCCAGTAGTCCTTTGCAGCAAAACAATATGCCAAAAATAACCATGACAGGACATGCCAAATTGAAAATACAGTGGGCTCACTGCTCTCTGTGATTGCGGCGCTGGGTAATCCAAAGTGAAAATCCGCGCGGAACTCGACACAGCAAACCTTTTAGGCCATTCCAGCTGGTTGTGCATTGAAGGGGTTGCCACTCGGCAGCGCAGTGACCTCCTTGCGAAAGGGGTTTGAGTCTGGCCTCAACTTGGCTTTGGCTGTGGAACTCAGAGATATGTTGTCCGGTGTGGGGTCCAATGTGCTAAAAGCTACTGACTGGTACTGGCACCATGAAAATCAGCGTCTACTCCAAACATGAGCCACTTTGATTTGCTTGGAGGAATTGAGAAACTAAGAAACTTGAAGCTGCGTATTCTTGATGTATTCTTTGTGTGTGTGCGCAATTTGATGGTATCAGGCAAGGAATTACACAAAAATAGGCCTCAATCAGCAAGGTTTGCTCCTTGAGAATCTTTGGTTTGAAAAAACAAAACAGCCAGGATACTTACTACCATGATCCACCTGTAAAGTTGCCCAAGTGTTCCTGTTAGATGTCAAAGTCTAAAACTGATTAAAACTGTGAAGGTATGACTTCTCCGACTCGATGATTCCTCCGAGATAGTCAGACGGGTTGGAGAAATCATGAGAAAACACAACAGAATTCAGCTGACGCTGTTGCTGCAAAAATTGCCAGCTCAATTTTTGATCGAGGATCGGCCTCCCAAAAGACGACTTCTCCTTGGCTCAAGGAAAGTTTGGGGGCTAGGGATACACATTGCATCACATTGCAATATATGTGCATTGCCTTCCAGAAGGCTGCGAAATAACAATGCACACTTAATTCCTACACCAACTCAGTTCTCCTCACTTTGGATCAGTTTATTGCAAGCTGAAGGTGCGACGGGTACTTTGGAGGTATGATGTGTCTCGAGCTGATCAGTTTGAAATGCTTGATATATCCACTTGCAAGGCAAACTTCATCTAACCATACAAACAATAATTATTCAAAAAACTGTTGACTGATTATTGATAACATCATGACCTCGCCTCAGTCTCATGTCACCCTTTGAGATACCTTCAGCATCTGAAGACAGAAATGTCTCAGTGTTGCCCTTCCACGGCTCTGCGATCAATGTGTGTCTAGTTGCGGAGGGAAAGCGCCCTCGAGGGAAAACATCAGGCCGGCCTGTGCACACTTTCCACATGAAAGCTGGCACATCTCCGGGTTGAACGCGCCGCTGTTCGACTATTTATATAATTGGACTGTCTGTATAGATCTGTATAGACTCTACTAATATAGACTGTTCATAGACTGTTCATAGACTGTTCATGGTATAGATATGTATAGATCAGAGCTAAAAGATGCCACAAGATGCTCCAGCCTGGAGCTTGAGCAGCTTGAGGAGGTCGTTCTTGTCGCTGGTCAGGCCATTCTGGTGCTGGTGCGAAAGGTTGCTGTGCAGGGCCAGGTGCTGCGGACGCATCTGGAAATTTGAAGGGGTTCTTTGGAGTTCGTTGCTCTCCAGGCCAAGCATCACTAGACCATGCATCAGGGCCTGGTGTGTTGTCCTTACCAATCCAGGAAGGGTCTGAATCACTCCAGCCATTCGTAGGCGAATTGCTGGGGCTGCTGACGAGCCAATCATCCTGACGTCTTCGACGTCGGTTGGGGTAGATGCTTCGAAGAAGATCATGTGCATTTGCGTCTTCCAGGATTTCTGTGCAAATCTCCTCGGGCAAATCGTTCAATGCCTCAGGGATTTGGCATTGAGGATGAAGCCGTGAAAAACCAACTTGGTGCAGTATAATCATGAAATATCATGAACATATCAGAGCAAGTCTTTAATCATTACAACATTGCATTACACAACATTGATAATTTCTATTGGGCAGAAATAGTGCTCACGTCGTTTCACGCCTCAAGGATCTTCCTGGAACCTTCAAGGACGATTGACCAATTGTAGGAAGCACCCAGGACTCGAGCGCATTCTTGGACGTGCTTCCGTCGGTTCTTGTGCCTCCGTCTCATTTCCAACAAGAAGAGCCATGCATCTTCAATTTGTCGATTGTTGTACAGAGCTGCTTCCAGGATGTTGGACTTGACACCATCCAAACAACCTGCCAAACTCACGCAAAACTGATGCAAATGTCCTCTGATTTCAGCCTGATCTGCCCTGGTCATCTGACTGATCCATTCTGATCCATTCTGATCCACAAATATCCACAGAATTCCACCAGATATCCACCAGATATCCACCGTGCGCCTTGTCGAAAGAGGGAGAAGACGTTCTCGTGTTCGTTCTCCCATGCCTTGATGTCATAGTATACGAGTGGTATTTGACGGATGGCCTGGCAATATTAGCTGAAATACTGGCTGAAATACCAAAGAATTCTGGGGAAAATGATCCTAAGTTGATATAGAACGTGATATAACGTGATAATATGATTATATAATATATATAATTGTGTATTTGATAAGCATTTTAGAATTATAATATGTGATAATGCCATGCAATTCATGTAGGGAGTGATGTTCATGATGTTCATTTGGTGTTGTCAGCAAGCGAAGCAACGCAAAATCAAAGCATCCGGGCTGAATCATCCCCACAAGGACTGGATATATCACCAGTACTGGCTGTCCGAGTCAACATGCGACAAGTTCGTGCACAATTTGCCATGGTTCAGGGTTGATCAGGAGTCGCACTGTTGGAATTCCACACTGGAGCGCAGACTCCACTCCCACAAAAGGAGTTCACCAATTACTACCATGTATCACATAACCTCCCCCAAATTGCCCAGCAATTAGCCTGCAAAAGCCGTTTGGCGCGGTGACGTATTGCTACATCCTGCTCTGTCAAAGGCGGTGGCCACCACTCACCATCTTGATCATCGTCGAAGCCTGTATTGCAACAGAATGGCTTCATGTGGTTTCAAGGTCTGTATGTAGGATTTTTGTTTGGAGGGCAAGTGAAGAAAGTACAATTTGAGAGTGAATCATAGTGAAGCAGTTTACGGTGTGTGTGTGTGCTTTTGTTTACACCTTTTGTCACACTGGACCATCAGACCTGTGTTTTCTCTTGAAGAGCAGCATTTTTTTGGCTACGGCTAAGATCACGACTATGGCTTCTCTGCCTACTGAGCTTCTGCCCGCGCATGGCTGTCACGGACGCATGATATAAAAGTGTTGGACCGATTTAGGTCTTGCATCATGACAAGTAGCTTAGATTGCTTCACAACCTGACAAGCTGCATATCTAGGTTTACTGAGAGCATTCTCAGGCACCTTCCTAGAACTGACTTACAGTTGCACAAAGAACAACACCCTTTCTTCCAGTGGGCGTAAAGATGTTGAATGTGGTCGGTTCTAGTTTGGCAGTGTCTTGTCTTCCATGCCTCCAAGAACTTGGGCTTCGTTCTGAGCCAATTGATCAAACAAGACCATTTTCCGGCCAATTGATCAGCATGGTCCAAGTTCCAAGGGAACTGACAATGGTGCTTTGGCGACAGCGGAAAATGAGCACAAAAGGAGGCTGCGGCGGCAATTGACCATGACATGAAGTTGTGCCAGTCCTGTTAACATCTCATGGAACGCATGGACGATCCAATGACTCAAGCGTGTTGATTCTCTGACATCCAGAGATCCAAAGAGGGTGTCCAGAAGTCTCAAGAAGTCTCAAGATGTTTCAAGGCTCCTTGTACCAAATAGCATCCACTTTCTGCAACGCCAGAATATCTGCATTGAAGGTCTGAACCTCTTGGCGACACAACTGGAGCCTGCCAGGGTTTTAGAAGTGGCTGGTAATCCAGGAAAAATGTCATGCTTTCCAAAGCAAAAGCGAAGTTTGATTCAGGGAGAATCAGCAGTTTGGAAAATGTCTGCCACCCACCTTCTCTCTGGTCTCAAGGTCTCGGCTGCACAGTATGGGAAAATGTGATCCCAGAAGTGCCTGCGCCACACTGAGCATCGATGAGCATCGTGCATCCCAAGGTCTTGTGATTGTAGCTGCTACACAGGTTTAATCAAACAGCAGCACAAATTCTCTTGCCAATACACCAATTTTGGTACTCATTGAGAAAACTTCAATGAATGCTTAGAATACCAAAGTTACCGACGCCTGTAAGAATCTGCAAGCATGTTGTAGCTGACAACCCTGAAGCAGTGGTCGCTTTCCTTGTCAAATGAGCTAAGGGACACTTCGGAGTCCAAGGAGTTGCCATACAGAGAGGATTCCCAATCAAAAATCACAGCATCACTGGGATATATATTATAGATCATACATTATATATAATTTTAATATTACATGTATGTATATCATATGAATTATATGTATATATATATAATAATTGTATAATCCACCATGATTCCCTGGACTGATGACACTGAGGTTCTCGCTTGACATCTCTGTTTTTGCTTTTGCATCTCCTGAAGCGAAGCGAAAGGACCATGGAGACTGAATTACCGGTGGTAATCCGTGGATTTCTATGGATTTGTGACATGATTTCGAGCATTTTCTATAGCCAATAATGAGCCCATAATCGTCTGGTGACACATCTCCTCTGTTTCCAAGATTCGCTGAAGGTTTATACTGTTTATACTACATCTAGAGGACCAGCAGCAAAGCTAGTGAAGCATATCTTGCTACCTGGCCGCCCGTTTCCGAACCCGGTAGTGCTTAGCTTGTCCTGTCTGTAAATGTGGCTTCTCATTTTGACGGACCACAGAAGTGGCCACTTTCGCCGCAGTATACTTGACCGAATGATTTCCATTTTGTTCATATCCAGTTTTGCGGCGGCTTTCGCTGAACAAAGCTGTAAGAAACCTGGGTAAATACTAATGTAGTAGAGCATTTATGCGACGTTGAGAGAACTGAATTTCATATTTTCTCACTTTTGCGGGAACTTTGAATTTCCGGGACAGTTCACGAGAATTTCACTTTCGCGCTTCTTTCCCGCAGCTTTCGCGCTCAAGGTTTTTTTGCTTTATGCCAAAGGTAACCCAGAATTCCTTTAGACAAAACCTCTACAGTCCATGCATGTACATGCCATTGTTTGATGCTGCCCAACTGTGTGAAACTCGCATTTGCAAATTTCTCCCAGCCTCATTGCGCTCTGTTGCCAAACTTGGTGGAAAAGGCGCCTCCAGCACTGGGTCAAAAATCAAGTGGGCGGCAGCCTCGGAGCAAGCTGGACTTTCAAAGGAGAGAAATGCCCAAGATATCCCAAGATTGAAGCAATATGAAGCAATCAACGCCAACCCACCATTCAGAATCGAACAGAATCATTCTTTGCATTTCTTTGCCCTTTCATGCAACCTATGTCACAACCTGTGTCTGAACAGAACCCGAAGTCTCCACAGGGAGCCTCTTCATCATCCACTCCCAAGACTTTGCTCATCTCGGCGTCTTTGGCCAAAGGAGGTCGTGCAATGACTTTTAACGATGTCCCAACTTCCGCCTGGATGCCACACAGTGTCACAATTCCATGAAATTCTATCCCTGACATCTTTCAGTATCTGGAGATGGGCGATCCAAAGGAGCCCTTTCAAAATCTCCCTCAAAATTCAAGAGCTGCATGACCAAAGATGTGTTGCTTTCATCTACACTTCATGATGATAACAGCAAACTGAACTTTTTTAATCTATCAACCTGCCTTCGTAGGAGTGAAGCAACGCGTTTTTGCAAGCAACTCTCCGGAACCATTTCGCCATTCCCAGCGCAAATGGGGAAGATCTTCCACATTCCACTGAGCCGTTGTTCCTGCTGGAACTAAGCGATATCCCACCATGGGTTGGCCACGGCAAGTGATGGACTTCACCATGGGCCGGTTGAGGCGCACGCGATAGTTGCGGCCACCTTTCAAACGATTTTCAAACGTGTCCGATCAGAATCAGTGTCTACCTATGTCTACCTCCACCTACAAACTCTACATAACTCTATAGTTTTTTCTCCTGGGATCCAAGATACCCAAGGTGAGTGAAATATGAAACAATTCATCTTAGTAGACCTTGCGTCAGTGCGATGCATTTGAAAGCATTGACAATTAAGGCCAAACCCAAGCACTAAGTCACTACGTCTCTAAGTGCCCAGCTGAGCTTCAGCAAGGATGGTGCTCTGGCTGATGTGAAGGCATCTGCCAATGGCAAATCTTCGATTTCATGTCCCGTCTCATCCAACAGGCAGTTGATCTCCGGCGCAGACTCACCGGCTCTTTCCGCACCAGCACCTTTTGCCCCATCTTCCCATGGCCGAAATTTGCCCCGGCCCTTTTTCTTTGGACCTTTCTTCAAAGTCAAAGAGATCCGTTGCAAAGTCTTCTGCAATGACTGGTCGCGAGGACGATCAAATTGCTTGATCGATCCATTCTGGGGCAGTTTCACGAGGATCTGCACTGGACCGTCTGGTTCACAGAATACGTCCACCACCTGCGTTTGGAAACCAAGCACTTCTCAGGGTACTCATGGCCGCATTTAAACTTCACTTCGCAAAAATAGGCATGATGATGTAACATGAACTTGTCTTGCGAATGCATTCCAAGCTATTGTGAGCAGTCAAATAGCTACAAACCGCGGCCACTTGCACAAGGACTTTCCAAAGTTTCACATAATATATATATATATATATATATGTATGTATGTATGTATGTATGTATATTATAATGTGAATACATACTTAACTTACATACGTGTATTTATATATATATATATATATCAAAAAAAACATCTATGATTTTTAGACAAATATATCCGCCGACCCCGCCTTAGCCAAGGCAGGGGCGGCGCCTGGGACCACCGCAGGTGTGGAACTTTTTTCCCTTCCCAATGCTTTGCGCTTTCCACGAGCCACCCAGGCCATAGCACCCTCTGTTCACCGCCCAGGAGCCACTCAGGCCACAGCAATTTCTGTGCACTTCCCACGAGCCACTCATGCCACAGCAATCTCTGTTTCTACGGCGTTCCAAAACGCAACAGGCCGCGGGAGACCCTGTGCAGTTCCAACAAGTCCCTGAGGCCGTGGCAGTAAAGAGGTTCAAGGCTGCCGTTTGCCAGCCTTCAAAACTCGCCAAAACTACCCAAACCCTCCCCTGCAGCTCCCAGGCGCCACTC